CAAAAGGGAACCAGCAGATGTATATTTGACGAGGTCTCCCGTTCTATAGAGTGTCCCATCTCGTCCAGGTACCTTCCAATAACCCTGTTGCAACCAGGACGGAGAAATGAAATGCTTTTCATTCAGGGCAGCACCGCAGCTCCCTGTATAGCTGGCGACGATCGGACCCTCGATGCATAGCTCGGCGATTGCTCCGACTGGAGCAAGGATATTAGGATTTTTGGGGTCGACTAGCCAGGTACAGGCTGCTTGACTTCTTCCAATGATTCCTGACTGCCATTTTTTGGGATCAAGTTTATATGACGTGGCTACGCACGCCTCAGCTGGACCATACCAATTGTACACGACGTCCACATACCCAGACCATTGAAAAGCCGTCCTCTGTTGCAGCTTTTCACCAGCAAACGTAATCTTCTTTAATGACGGTACATCCTTGGGCACAATGGTTTCTGCAACGGAAGGTGTCAAACAAATCCAGTTCGCATTGTAGTGAACGATGCTTTCAGCCAGTCGATTCGTTCGTTCAGATTCAGATGCGATGCAAACACAACCACCTGCAACGAGGACCGAAAGCGTTTCTAATGTGCTGACATCAAAATCGTATCCTGCAAATTGGAAAACCCTGCTGTTAGAATCAATCCCAAAGCATTTTTGCACTGCCGCAATGTTGCTTGACAGCGTCTCATGGCTCCATTGGATAGGTTTTGGCTTTCCAGTAGAACCAGATGTAAAGAGAAAAAAAGCAGGATCAGAGGCATGGACCTGTGGTAACGATAGACCTGGATTATCTTCAACGTGAGTTTTCATCAGCTCATCAATGGTAACAATAGGCGCCATGCCAGTAAAGGGACATAAGTGGGGTGCGGTCGATGTTATGACAAGTGTTGGCTGCAAAGTATCGACCATCTGGCTAGCTCGTCGACCTGAAGTCGGCACAGAAACAGGCAACGCGATGCATCCAAGTTGAAGAACAGCAATCATCGTGATAACCAGCCAGGAAGACTTTTCGAAGCTCAGCACGACGATAGATCCAGGGTTAACCCCATGCTCTCGCATTCGGCACGCAAGAGCAATCGACTTTTCCTGCAGCTGTCGGTATGTGAGCTCGTTATCCCATGCGCATATGGCAATTTCCCCCGGTTGAGTAGCAGCTCGCTGCGCAATCAGAGACGTTACACACTCAGTAGCGGCAGGTGGTAGGTCTCGGTTCCACGTCCAGATATCAACCAGATCCTCGCTGGTCAAGGGGCTGAGATCTCTTAGTTTGGATTGGCCAAGCTGCTCTGAGCACATTTGTCGCAATAGATGCTCAAACTGCCGGGCCAGCCGTTGCACCTCGTCTTCCTCAATAGCCCCGGAGTCAAAGTTGAACTTGAGGTCTGCACCAGATTCATCCAGATGACATATAATCATCATCGCGTAAGAATTGTAGATCCCCATACTGTCGCTCTGACCATCCTTAGCTACTAGAATTGGATCCGCTTGTCTGTGCGCTTCGAAAATACCTGGTATCGACAGAGTGTGTGCCCGGGAGAAAAGACCGCCAGGTTTCTGACTCTTTCCTTGGTGAGCTGGCTGGATGACCAGTAACAGCTCAAATTGGGTGGCTGCCTCAATGTCCTCATCGATCCGCTGAATGCGCTGTAAGCCGAACTGTTCATATTCCGTCATTTCTACCATCTGTCTTTGAATTTGCTGCAGCAAATCTTCGACGGTCTGATCCCAGTTCAACTTCACCCGCACAGGAACTGTGGCAATAGTTGGTCCCGCGATGCGTTCAATATCCGGCACAGGAGCCTGTCGGCCACTGACGGTAGCTCCATACTTCACATCGTCTGTATTTGTGAATGATGCTAGCAGTATCGCGAGTGTAGACCGCACCACTGAAGATGGAGTGGCGCCGGTACGGGGCCACTGCACCCCACTAATAACATGGTTGAAATCGAGCTTTTTCCTTGGACAGTATTTGGAAGATGGAAAAACAGCTGCATCGGAGCCAATGAGCTGATCACGCCAAAACTCTGTGGCCTTTGCAGTGTCCATGGCCATTACGTGCTTGACAAATGGCTGGAAAGAAAGGGGCGCTGAGAAAGATTGAGTCGCCCGATACGCCATTTCAAGAGTATCCAGGATGAGCATTGTGGTCCATCCATCGTAGATCGAGTGATGAATCTCCAATAATAGACGGGGAGTTTCATTTTCAATCATCCCAGCCCGGCACAGTGGTCTCCCTAGATGTGAAGCCTGAGAGCTGGTGGTCATAAAGTCGCGGATATGCTCATATCGAAGCAATGTCACTGGGGTCTTCGCGACAACCTGAACGATACCTTCGCCCGGTAACTCGATAATCCTAGTACGCAGAATAGGTGTTGCTGCAACGGTGTTTGTCCAGGCCCTCTCCAGCTGCCTCATATTAATGTCTTCTGGCAGATCAAAAACAGTGCGTGATGTATAGTCGGCGCTAGCATCTCTTGCACTGATGGCCAACATCCCTTGCTGTAATGCAGTGCAAGGATAAATATCCTCAATCTCGCCAGCCTCTACTCCACACAGCATGGCAGCTTCTTCACACAAGCTCTTGTTACTTCTCCTCCCCTCCAGCAGGGAGAATGGGAGCACGACCTCGCTCGGCACAACATTTTCGACCTTGGTTGCTAATTCGTTTAGAATGGGAAAGGTGAACACATCTGCAACCGTTAAAGACAGCCCTTCCTTCCGCGCTTGCGCAACCAGATACATGGCGGTAATCGAGTCTCCTCCCAGGCGCAGAAAACTATCACCTGTGCTGATTCGATTGACCTCCAGCTCTAAAACTTGGGCCCAGATGTGCCGCAGCTGTCTTTCCGCGTCAGTTGTCGGCTCGCGATACTCAACAGTGGATACGATGGTTGATTGGAGCTCGACAATTTGCTTCCAGTCCAAAGCATTGCCCATTTCCCGTAGTCGCCGTCTATCAGCCTTGCCAGTTGAGGCCACTGGAATGACATCGACCGGGAGATACACGGTGGGAATCATAAAGGAAGGTAATATTTCACGCAATTTTCTTTCCAGGCTGTCCATCTGGCCCCTGATCCGTTCTCTATCATCTGGCTGAGCCTGAACAAACAGAACCAATGACAACGTGTCGGACCCTCGCGGCATAACCACGTCTGCAATCACGGAGAGATCTTCGTCTAGACAGGCACGGACGTGATGCTCAACATCACCAATTTCCACTCTTTGGCCTCGGATTTTAAGTTGTGCAGCGTCTTTGCGGCCCATGAACATTAGTCGCCCGTCTGGTTTGTACTTGACCAAATCCCCTGTTCTGTAAAGTCTGCCTGGCCGGCCAGGAACATTGTTGTTTCCTTCCAGCAGCCATGGAGGGTCATTGATAAATGCATCAGCACTCTTTTCAGGGTCAGATAGATAGCCCTGACCGACTAGAGGCCCTTCTAGGAACAGCTCTCCTGTCGCCCCTGGGGCGGCCAATTTGCTGCCATTGACATCGACAACCCATGTACAGTGACCAACTCCCCTGCCGATATCCGGACGACCTTCGAGATGTGAACTGAGGAGGGAAAAGGCACATTTGAATGTACATTCCGTTGGGCCATAGGTATTTAGCAATCTTACCTTGTCGGCCCAGCGAGTGATGTTGTCTCGGTACGGCATCTCTCCACTCAACAAAACCGTTTCGAGGGTAGGTGGAATGGGGTTTATAGTCCGTAATACAGTAGGCGTCACATTAATCAATGTGGCCTTGAATGAGGTAATGGCAGCGGATAGATCGTTCAGCATGTCTTTCTCGTTCGCAATGCAAATGCATCCTCCAGCGCAGAGGGTGTGCAGGAAGTTACTCCATGCAACGTCGAATGAAAAGGGAGCAAAGTCAAAAACCCGCGATCTTGAATCAAAACCCAACTTCTTGCCCTGGTGATGGACGGCACTACGCACGTTTGCATGGCTGATGCACGCACCTTTGGGTTGACCGGTTGTTCCACTGTCTGGATTAGCGTTTCTTTCTTTCTATCGCATAACTTGGAAATCACGTACGATGTAAAGGAGACATAAACTATATCAGAGGGGAAAGCGACCGGAAGTCCGTCCGCTGGCTCCTCAATCTCGTGGTCGAAAAGGGCATCATCCAGCTGCAGGATGGAAGCATCCGCCAGCCCAGATGCTCTGGTGGTATGCACTGGCGACGAGATGATGACTTTCGGTTGTGTCTGTTGCACAATCGATCGCAATCTGGTATCTGGCTGCGTCGCATCCAGCGCAACGGCAGCACAACCTGCCTGGATGATGGCCAACATGGCCACGCAGGCCCATCGCGACTTGGAAAACAGCAAGGGTATACTGGACTGGCGGGGGATCCGCAAGGCAATCAGGCGTTGGGCCACCCTGCGAGATAGCGCATCCAGCTGAGAGTACGTTAAATCGCCATCCCAGGCGCACACAGCCAAGGCATCCGGATGATGGACCGCAATAGTTGCAATCAGATCATGAACGCAGCCCGGGACAGTCTCCGGGACTTCAGCATTCCAGCTCCAGATTTGATCAAGATCCAGGGTATGCGACATCATGGCGGAATGGGATTGTTAGCTGGAAGGAATAGGGGGAATCGGCGAAGGATCACCGTGCCAGTAACTACTGCAGAAGAAAAGAAACCCTCGATGCCAAAAGTTACAAGTTCCTAGCAAGACCCACCGAGGCAGAAACTTCCGTGTCAGTGGCACATACCATTCGCCCACAAAAATGATACTTCGCTTACATTGATTGACGAACGCAGAAGCCACCCATAAGCGCTTATGCAGGTTACAGGTCAGCCGCGCCGAAACCGGTCATGTAGTGTAGTATACCCAGCGGAGCACATGTGGCGGTTATGAACGGCAGTCTTCACGGTATTTTGTGGGCAATCAAGTCACACCATGCATTTGACAGGAAACTGTCCCCAGTATATATATAACAGGACTCTCATGTCAACCATCCAGCAACAATCGTCCACGTCGCAACTCCTCATGTTCCCCTCTTTGGATTTCTCTCGTTTCCACGATCCCTCTCAGCGAGAGGAATTCTGTCGCCAATTCGTCTCAATATTGAAGGAATATGGATTTCTCAAACTGATCAATCACGGCATTCCGTGTGCCCAGATTGACCTGGCATTTGCGGCAGTTTGTTTCCATTCTCCAATGCCCCGATGCGTCTATACTTACTTGGCCATAGGCACGCCACTTCTTCCAATTACCCTTGGAACAAAAGTTGAAAGCACCTCATCCTCCCACCGCGCATCCACATCGAGGCTTCAGTCCGGTCGGGCTGGAGAACGTTGGGGCTGTCTCCGGCTATGGCAGCGCAACGAAATCTCCTTACGTCGGAGACATGAAGGTGATGCTGTCTCACGTCGAAGGAATATTTTATTCTAACCCTTTTCGAGGAATCCTACGACATTGGATCCGAGTATGATCCACTCTACAAGAACATCTGGCCACCCCCGGGAGTGGACGATGGCTTCCAACCGACCTTTACTTCATTCTTCGAAGCTGGCTATCGCACCGAATTGGCCATCCTCAGGGCTCTCTCGATCGGACTAGGTCTACCTGAGCAAACGCTTGGACAGCTTCACGCAGACCAGACCAATGAGCTGCGCATCACGCACTATCCGGCGGTCGCCCGAGGGGATTTTGTGCATTCGACACGCATCGCGGCGCACACCGACTTTGGGACGATCACCCTGTTATTCCAAGATACAGTCGGAGGCCTACGTGAGTTCTTTTCTTTTTTTTTTGCCTTTCCTTTCTCAAGTTCTCTTCGCGAGCAGGTTCGTGATGCTGTTGTGCTAATGCAGGGAACAGAAATGGAGGTTCCACCGCACAGTGGGCAGTTCGCGGACATCGAGAGTGGAGGGCCATACGAGTGTATTCTGAATGTCGGCGATTGCCTGCAAATGTGGACCGCGTTGCACAGTGCGTGCCATCGAGTCCATCTTCCCGTCCGGTCCAGTGAAGCGCAAATCGACGAGATGGTGCCGGAGCGCTTCTCCATCGCGTACTTTGCGAAGCCCGACCGTGCTGCTATCCTCCGACCCTTACTGGAAGGAGATGGAGATCCCGAGGGGAAATATCCGACAGCCAATGAGTTTCAACACATGCGGATTGCGGGAACATACGGATGATAGATTGATTCTGTCCGGTGTATCTGATCGCACGCGCTGATCGGACGGCTCAAATTCAGCGGTGATCAACGATCCTCTCATTGTACTGTGTAAGACTAGGGCATTGAAGTCTGCCAGGAAAGAAAAACAGTGTCATCGAACAGTATTCCGTGTTGTCACGTATCGAATACCTAGAGGTTGAGCGGGTACTAAAATTCTAGTCAAGGCCTCAGTCAGGCATCATGGTGATGATTGGCTGTGGTTATGCAGAAGCTAGGGTCGTCACATTCCATGGCTCAGCTCTGGTTCAACCAAGATTCAGCCAGCCAAGATCAACTAGAGGTAAACCAATAGGAAAGTTGCTAGAGTGTGGTGTATCAATAGTCCTTGCTCTGGCCCTGGCGATTTTGTTAGTACAAGCCACTATACAGGGATCCAAACCCTTCAGACCTTGCCACGTAAATCACCAATCTAGGAATTTTTACGCAGTCTGACTACCTATTACAAATATTTGCATGCGTCCTTATCTGACAAGTAGGTATTAATTAGGCCGATCCTCTTAAATCCACACGGTTGCAAAAGGACTTGTGGGTCAGTCAAATCAACAATACCAATTAGAAGCGACCAAGCACCATATCCTGCATAGGTCTAGACACATCCCCCTTCCGCACACGGCGCCAGCCAAAGTACAGAGGAACACAGTATGATGAACAAAAATATACCTTTTGCTGTTACCGCTCGAAAAGAAAGCAGACTTTCATATTCATCTCAGTCCCATCCACCCCCCCAACAATGGAGTATCAGACTTGGGCATTGTCTGTGGCCAAATTGGATTATAAATCAGTTTTCGGTCTTCTGTTGACCATCACCGTTGCCGTCGTCGCGACCAAAATCCTGCAGGTTTCTACGAAGTGCTGCCCTTGCATTCCCTCCATTCCTTTTCACATCTCGGTTTACGATGCATATCGCCGCGTGTCTGAAATTGGTTTCCATAACGCTCGTCTTCGCCCCGTGCTGGAAACCCACGGCGCCGTCAATATCTGGAACTCGGGTCGATGGGCGGTTCTAGTGACTAAACCAGAGTATGTGGCCCGCATTCTACGCAATGAACGCGTTGTGGCCAAAGGTGGCTTCTATGGGAAAGTTCCCCATAGTACATTAGCGGGTCTATTTGGCGAGAACATCATTGACTCTCATGGAGAGCTTTGGAAACAGTTCACGGGGATCATGAAGCCGGGGATCCAGCGCGCCCATAGTATCGCCTCTCTCAGGGTCGCATCGTCTAAGCTTATAGCGACATTAAAGCGAGAGCAACAGCATGCGCCGTCTGGCCGCGGGGTTGTTATCAATGACATAATTGAACGGTGGGCGATTGACGTGTTTGGGGAAAGCTTTTTTGACGTTGATTTTGGCGCCTTGAATGGCGGCAGTGTTCGGGCTCAAGATGCTCTTCTGGCCATCCTCTGGAACCTGGGAGGACATCTCATCCACCATTTCCCGGTGTTTGAAAGAATTGGCTGGCCTCTACGCCCAACAAGGCCCCATTGTTTTTCCATGATCCGAGAGCTCGAGGAGGCTCTGATCGACGTAACCGAGAAACTCAAGTACACCGAAACCCCGCCTGATCGGTCGGGAAAGCTGATCTACCGGTTGCAGCGAGCCCGCGATGATGGGCTCATGTCGGACTTCCATTATCGCTCGAACCTTAAAATGATGTTTTTCGCTGGCCACGAAAACGTCAAGTTTGCATTTATAGCAACACTGTGGGAGCTTTCTCAAAATCCTCCAATGCAAGAAAAGTTATACCGGGAAATTGCCGCACATAGCCCTTCTTCGTCCGACGAGGACGACCTCAAGAACTTGCCCTATCTCACCGCTGTACTCTCTGAAACCTTGCGCCTCTACCCCCCAGTCAGTCAGTTGATCAACCGCAAAACTTTGGAGCCAGTTTATCTAGGAAACGGCATAACCATTCCCCAAGGAACATGGGTGGGATGGACGGCATATGGCGTCCACACCGATCCAAATACCTGGGGACCTACCGCCCACGAGTACCAACCGGAGCGATGGGGGGGCGATGTCCATGCTATCCAACGAGCGATTAGCCAGCAACAGGTTCGAGGGAGTTATATTCCATTCAACGCTTGGACTCGTAGTTGTATTGGGTCTGAGTTTGCATTGTTACAACTCCGGGTGACTCTTTATGAGATTGTCCGTCATTTCGAAATCACTAGTGCCCCAGATTATCATTATTCGATCAAGGAGGCAAGTCCCAACATGCAGACTTGCTGCAAAATGTACTGATATAATTACTGACCCGAAAGCAGAACGCTTCTCTCGAGCCCTATAATTGTCGATTGATTTTCAAGGATAGAATATAGCCTACAGACTTTTCTTATTGCTTATCACTGATCAAGTTACTCCCCAAGATGTTATGGACCAAGCTGTACAATTTGAGACTATTTCCTTCTCTAACCTAGTGTCGGTATTTGTGATCTACTTCAAGATCCCCAGATCAGCCGGGAATTGGCCGGCTTGATCCAGCCCGCGAAATTAAGATGTGCAAACTACTGGACACCGTTACTTTGGCTATTAGGTTTCGGTACCTGGTTACTGGGACGGACTACAGAACTTTGCTCCGCTAGGGCAACATGCCACTGGCCTGTGCTCGCATGACAGTAGGGGTAGAAGGTAATCTTCCTTCTAGCCTTGTCGATCTTTCCTCACCCACCAACATTTCAGTGGTAAGTCGGTCTCAGGGACTATGACACGAGTGCTCGCCATTCCTTCCTTTATTTATTTCCTAGTTATTCTTTGGCCTGATCATAGTATAATCCAGCCATTCCTAATTTCATTATGTACTGATGAGTGTTGTTGGCACAAGCCTGAGCTGCGGCATGGCTTCCTCTCTCTTAAATTGTGGTTCATCTGTTGCCAATCACAATTTATGGCTAGTGTCTGGCTCGATCGCCACTCTGGCATCCTAGCTCAAGTAACTCCCATCGTGGTGATAAAGTTGCATGCATATATTGATTACTAGGGTGGCTTTGAACGACCCTGGCAGGAAGGTCAGATTGCCATGAACAGCAATTACTGCATAAACGGCAGGCTGTCATACTTTGGCTCTCTATCGCCTTCGCATGCACCAGTGGTGAAAGCTCGTCGTGGTGATTTGAGTCCATGGGATTCGCCCCACTCCAGACTGATACCTTCGTCAACCCAAAATCGGAGTACTCCGTGAAACCCGAATCATCTGGTGCTATTAGCCACAGGCGAGAGGCTTTGGGTCTTGCTCGTTAGGACGCTAAGCTAATGTGTCTACCTATTTGGAGATGCCCTTTAAGTTCAGCTATTGTGCCTGTGTGTTGATCTTAAGTGGCTCGCCCCCGCTGTCCTTTCTGATCATCTAACAAAGTGCAGAGTCTGCCCCTAAAATGATTCGTCAACCGTTGGGCTGGGTAGATCTGCTGGCCATTGAGATTGCCGATAAAAGTTGGTGAAGAAGCGAGAATGGAAACAAGCCTGGCAGCGTTAAGCAGGCTTTGAAAGCGTTCTAGCGGTCCGTGGTGGTGGTAGAGAGGCCATGTCAGATTAATATAGAAGGGAAATGAGGCATTTCGCAAGGACATGGGCAACAGGAGTGAGTGGGGGATCTTATCTCCCAGGTAGTAGAAAACTGCTAAGCAAATACTGATATAAGCACCGGAATCATTATTCCTTTCTCCACCGACGCCTTCTGTCTCTGTCTTTCTCTTATTCTGTATTTTGTTTGGTTTTCTTTTATTGTTTGTTAAATGGAAGCTAATTTGAATATTAGCACAAGAACTATGACATAAGGATCTGCAAGAAGTAGTTACACGAGGTCCCACTAGTAAATCTTGGTGGATCCAAAGCGGACTCACCACCCACAAGGAACGAGCCGCGGAACCGATTATCTTCCGGTAGTTATCTGGAGTCTTCCTTACATACAGTATTCAACCGAGCCGTTGAAGTCAACTACCAGATCCGGTAGGGCAGTGTTTACTATCTCCAGCTCCTGACCCATCCACGAGTCTGTCGAGTTGGCTATAGGTGGAGTTATGGCGGTGTTGCCTGCACCGTTTACCTGCCTCCCAAGCTCTCTTCCAGGGTCACTATATGCCCGCTGCAGGCATGCTTGCATCGACTCCTTTTCCCCGTTGCCCTGGTCAAGCGAAGTCTTCGCCTCTGCAAGTTGTTGTTGCAGCTGCTAAGTTTTGCCTTGCAATCGCCGGTCTACCTCCACAAGCCGCTGATGATCCTTCTCCAGCTGTTCTTGCGCCTCCATAGCTATTTTTTGCTTATCCATCAAGCGTTTTTTGTCCTCTTCCAGGCTTGTAACTGTTTTGTAACACGGTTCATGATCAACTGGTCGGGCAGAGGAAGTCGCATGGTCTTCTGATTCTACTCCAGGCTCTGGTTGTGCAAACTGGGGATGTAGGTTAACCCTTGTTGAAGTAAGCTTTGGCAAAATCGATGGTAGGTCCATTTTAGTGCAGTGATGCGGTGCAAGAAAGGTGGAAAAAATTGCGTGTTTGGTGCTGTTCTGTATTTTGGTGGTGTTTGTCTATCTCTCTGAAGCGCGGCTGTGGGCTTTTGCCTCGCTTTTCGAGAGCAATTGTGCACCCCAATCTCTCTAAATGTATTAACTAAACTCTCGGGACATTTAAAAAATGCTAAAGACCCCCGGTGGGTTTTTCACTGTAACCCACTTTGCTGAAGGCCTCGAATATACCAGGTGAATTGGTCTTTCGAGCAACAGAGCAGGTATAGGATAGGGTAGATCAGTGGCCGTTCTGGTTTTGCTCCGGCCAGACTGTTGTCATTAACTAATTGGCTTATGTACGAATCTGCGGAAAACCCCCGTCTTGTTATTGTATTTGGTCCTGGCCGTGAAAAAAATACTAATAGTACGTAGGTTTACATAGGTATACTTTTGTGCATGATTAACATTCAAGATCCAGATGTGCGTCTCTGTCCAGCCTCAGCATCTTTCTGGGTCTGCAAAATAGTTCGGTTTCGCGAAACGAATCCTTTTTCCGTAACGTCAAAAGGTGAAGGGAATAGGAACCAGGCATAACTCTACCAGGCCGAGAAGTGTGCCGGCCCAATGAGGTGTCAGGCTAGATACATTTTCGGTCCGGCCAAGGGCAATGTTCCTCCTAGGATAGATCTGAAAACGGTATTTGAAGAGAGAGCAGAAGCTGCATAGATGCCGTAAGATCCTGCCACTTTTATTCCATGTTAGTCAGTCGAGAGATGCCACTATGCGGTCAGTTGGGGACGAGGCACATACAGTAATTCGAGCTGTAGATAAAACATAGCGTATTTCCAAAACCAAAATGAACTCCACAAGCAATAGACACAAGCCAGTGGATACCTGCTGGCACACAAGTCCAGGCGAAACGAGTCGACCTATCGGAGTACATATCGCACCAAGGCTCATGATGGATCCTGCGGCTTCAGGATATACACGGCCAGTTTCGGGGTTGATTAGACTAGAGTTGATGATGTGCCTCCAAAGCGGCTCGAGACAGATGGCAAGCGTCACTCCTAGACCATTTTCTAAGTATGCCAAGCCATTGATACCGGGTCCCCAGCCTCTATAGTCTTGGAAAACGATGGGATATGCGACGAAGGAAAGGTAGAGAACGGCATAGACAATAGACACTCTCGCACGACATTAGCATTAATTCTTTTGTTCGCCAAGCTGCTTGAGTCATGACTTTGGCCCCTTACCATGTATTAAAGAACCACGGAATGGGCTCCGTTGCTGCCAAGATAAACGAGCGGCGCAGAGTGACCTTGAGCTGTGGCCGGAATGATGACTTGTCGTCGTAGCGAGACCAATAGCGACTATCATGCTCTTTGCGGAGCTGCGCAGCTCTTTTTCTGAGGAGAACAGGGGCATATGCTTCGGAGGACGGAGGCGCCGCTGAGAATCATGGTTAACCAGTCATCCCAGCGCCAGCCCAGCCCCGCGTAGACGAAGCCACCGATGACGGGCCCGATGGCAGGACCATTGAATGGCGCGATTCTCCATAGCGAGATACCAACTGCCAGTTTGTCGGATGGATAGATGTCGACCAGCTACCTGGCGCATTGGAGATTGTAGCAGCACCAAACACGTCTTTGTTGGGATTGCAGGTTAGCCTACGCAAAGTCACGCCACCATCCACAATAGATAGATTGCTTACCCAAAAAATCTTACAACCAATATCTCAGCTACTGATGTGGCCAAAGAACACGGAAGGATGGGAAGAGTGAAAACCGTCATGAACACAAGATAAATCGGGCGGCGACCAAACACCTCGCTGAGCGGTGCTTGGGTCAGACTACCCGCACCAGTGCCGATGAGGTAGGTGGTGATGCCCAGCGTCGGGATGACGGGGGGATGAATATCGAAGGCTATACTGGCTCCCGGTATGGACGACGTGTAGATAGTGCTGTAGAGGGACACGATAAAGGAGGAGAAGGCGATGTAGAACAATACCCAGGCACGGCGCCAGGACGACCATTCTTTGGGGTTGGTGGTATCTCCAGCTTAGAACAGGACCTCGAAGTCTGCTTCATCTTGGGCACCATGGTCTCCTTTCTCATTACTTGTCTTGACACCACCGTTGAGGGCATCATCACCACGAGGGATGGCGCCTTGCACAGCTTCACCTTGACCCTCCTGCACTGACTGGGCTTTTGGATCCTGATGAACCACACTCGCCATGGTAATTGGTGGCGTCAGTCAGACACTAGGATAGCGGAGATGTTCAGCGTCTGCACATGGCTTTCCCCGAGAAGCGGCTGCATTTAGATAGCGTCAGTTTTTTGTTTTTGTACAGTCCGCCTGTTCCACAAATCTCTTCCCCTGATAATCCAGCAAAGCACATTAATGATTGCATCCAAGGAAACCGACAAGTAGCTGACAAATGGACGGCTCATTCCAGCCGAGAAAGGCTGATTGGAACCAATCAAATACTTGCCAGTTTACATCTCCACACCGAGACGCATGATGGATACAAACCGGATGAAACCACCCGTGGCTAGTTTTTGATTGGCTCAAGTATGGGTCTTTTTAGGTCTGTTTGACAGCGGGCGTCGGCCGTTAATATCGGGGCTGCGCCCGCCCCGGTCTCATCCTTTGAGCCTTTGATGATGCCTTCTATTCCCATGTCAGACGAGGCTTTGCGACATTTTGTCTCGACTTAGTTAGAGAGAGCAATCCTGCTAATAATCCTGCCTCGCGTTGTTGCCCTTCTTTACTCTCTTGCCCTCTTTTTCCCCAAGCTTCCAATCCTCAGCCTCGTGCGCCACTTTTGTAAGCTGCTTCCTTCCAATATCATTCTTACGGGGCCTTGTTCTCGTTGCGCTTCTCTCTTGATACTCGCTCTCTTTTTCATTTCGGCCCCTGACTGTTTCGACTCATTCCCCTTGCTAAATCGGGCTTATTCTCAGTCTCGCCAAACCAAAGTAAATTATAGCGGCTGAACAGTCCTGGTATAAAAACACGACGAAATGTAAGTTCCAAGACATGCATGGGACAATATCCAGCGTGTTTCTAGAACCCCTACCAAAGAAAAGCAAAGAAGAGAAAATGACGTTCAAACGTCTAATTCCATTTGCCTCCCTTGCAGTCAGTTGCATTAGCCATGTCGACTCCGGAGCCACTTCCCAACCCCCAGCGTGTCATTACCGACACCGATCTCGAGACCGGCATCTCGCACTTCAATACGACGCTGGACGAAAGTCTGGCGGTCAAGCAGGATCTCGGAGGTTCCTTGTTCCGTCTGGGCTACATCACCGACAAGACCCCCAACACGCTCGATGGCACCGATCTCACCAACTACACTGAGTACCTGGAGAATGCCAGCGTGCCTCCCGTCACCCTCCCCGATGGCCGTGGCATGATGTGGTACATTGACACCCCTCCTGGTAACGGAAGTCCTTTCCACCGCACCTTAAGCTTCGACGTTGTTATCCAGGTCGCGGGCGAGATCGAAGTGACGCTCGAATCTGGCGAGAAGCGCATCCAGAAGCCGGGTGACATGCTCATCCAGCGCGCTACCGCTCACACTTGGAGAAACCCCAGCAAGGACAAGTGGGCACGCATGGTCGGTATCATGTACTCGAGCAACCCTGTGGTTCTCAAGAACGGCACCGAACTTGGTCCTACCGGACTTTAGTCGCCTCATTAGCAATAGTATAGTCTATATTGTGCCTACATAGGACAACTAATATTATTTTGAGCTCACTTTTTTTTCCCCCGTGCCGAAGCATCTAGAGTGACAATAGATTTCATATGCCAGCGAAACAACGTCGTCAAGTACTGCCAGTACACTTGCTAGTTCGTATGCGCAAAAGCACCAAAAATCCAAAATATACACACCCATCTTTTTCTATCTCAATATATTGACATAGGTATAACAGCGCGATCATGATCATAATAGCTAAAGGTCGAATCATCAAAACTATCATTCGTACATCTCTAGCTTGTATTTGCGTTTCGTCATTCAATAATACCCTATCTTTCAATGGCCTCTAGTAGTTGCAACACTGGTATCAGGTAGTTTCCTAGCTCTCGTTCCCATCGAAAATGCTGATTATGTTCCATCTGCTGCATCTCATCCAACATTGAAGCTACCTGGCGTAACATTCGACGATATATAGCGCGTGTCACGGTGGCTCCTTGTTGACCGTCAAGAGTAAACCGTCCAAGAGCCACGGGAGGGAGATTCTCAAGGGCTGCAGCCAGGAAGGGGCTGGAAGGAGCCACAACGGGCACAGGAGGGTGTGCCAAGTTTTGCGGCGCGCTCCCAATGCTGCTGCCGCCACAGCCGAGTTGACGGCCATATCAGTGACATTATTGCTCAGAAAACAAATCACATTCTCAATCATGTCGAGTACGTGGTGTGTGTGGGCTTCCAAACAAGGTCGGCATGTCTTGAGGCGTTCCCAGAATGCCCATGGCTTGGCTAAAGAAAAATGGCTTCCACGCCTGACTCGCCATTAATTGGCAGCGCGTGAAGTTCGGGTTTGCTGTTCTAGCCGCAGAAACATGACGATTTTGATGTCTGATTTGACAAGCGCGATTGCCGGCGAGTATTGTACGTTGCATGGCATTGATGCATCATCCATTTCGAACTGCAGGATACGTCACGCACGGTTTGAATAAATGGGTAAGAGGAGGAAAAGAAGGTCAATTATGCTGAGGCCACTGGAAAAGGAGGACTTTACTGAACATGCAAATGCTGATTTGATACGGCTATGTCTGTTTTCTGCAATTCACAAATCCTTGTGCTATTACCTCGCAGCGTAAAACCTAAAGGAACACAAGACAATACAGCGGTTGACTGTACCGTACCGATCACCTAACGACCGGCCCTACCTAGCGACGAATTTTCTATATAACGTGTATGGGGTACAAAACATAATCAGTATGAAAAGTAATATATTCTCAACAACCAGCAAGCTAAGGAGCTTATTAAATGTATAAATAAACTTACTGAGCTTTGTCTATACTCCGCACATAAGGTACTTCAAAATTCTGCCGGAGATGTTACTGAAATCAAGCCAGAAAAACAGTGGCCAAGCTGCTTTATAATGATATATTAAGATACTCTTTTATCTTGCCGTACTACTGGTATTAACTCTGCACACCACAGAGCTAATTCTGTATTTAAATGGACTTTGTACTTCAAGCTTCTAGCTAAAAGGACAAGCTTTCCAAGCACCCCATCTTATTTAATGGCTGTAGACCAGCTCCTGCAAGGCTACTGTACATATTTACTTGGTTAGATAGCTTCTCTCATACTGGTAGATATAGATGTAGGAAATCCTCCTTATTAATATGGTTATTTCCAGCTACCATCATCCTTTCCACTAGTTTCCTGTATGAGTGTTTACGCGGCACAAAAAAAACCCAACATCTAGGGGTTGAAGAAGATGAGACGTATGTGGTGGTGGTATGCAGAGACAGATGATTGCATTCTCCTTGCAGAAGGTATCAAATTCCGGAGCTAAATGGCTAGAATAGCCATCAAGGTTAATCAGTCACTTCGCAGCAGTTAAATATCGCCTAGAATAAGGCTCAAACACAACTTTTTAGCAGTGGAGGCTTATCTCATCTGTCGTCCAGCTATTTTGACTAGTTGCAATTAACGAAGTCTTGAAGAAGCTCTGGTTCTTGATGTAAGGGACTCTAGCTGAATCAATAGTTGATTAGGTAGTCTATCACGAAGACACTAAGCTAAAGAGAAGGGAAAAAGAAGAAAACATTAAGCCATTGTGTTGTGTTGCCCTTAGAGACAAACGGTTACATGACTACCACTCACTTCACTGATCACCTAAACCTCTGTCCGCGGCACCTGATACCAAGTAGCCTGGGGTTCTCTTCCCTTTAAGATAACCACTGGTGGTATAGAAGTCCTTTTAGAACCGATATATTCAATGATTGTGACCTATTCGCGGTTCCCTTGGATAACTGTACGAGGTCTCTCACTGCATTCCACTGCACCAATAACCTTAGATGTTGTGCAGAGCCCCATTGCAATGCCAGTTTCATCAAAGTTACTGATATCATCATGTATGCTGTGTTCTTGAATAGCGTCGCGTAAAGTCTCATACCACGGTCTGATAACCTTAGGATCCTCCTGTTTTGCCCTCTGGTATGTAGTGCCTCGATTATATCTCGTACATAGTTCAGGGAGACGTTTTGTAAAGGCATCGGCCCAGTTTACTCCGAGAACTACTGTTTAATCTTGTGTACGTCCACGGAGCAATATCTGTGCAATTTTATGCAGGAAAAATGGCTGAATTGAGAAGCCTCGCTTATCTGCATCTAGCAGTTGCTTAGCAAGGGGTTTTTCTTCAGTAACTGTTAATTTATGGCCATTTGCGCGTATTTCTGCTCGTGGTTTGACACCTGCTAGCTGCTTGCGAAGGGAGGATTCAGAGACACCAAATATTTGGGCAGCCTTTAATTTTGGCTTGACATTTTCCTGTTTCTATGCAGTAATAGCCATCTGCATACGGGCTCCCTTAGGTAGGGGTATCTTCATACGTACGGGATTTCCTACGCAGCTCGAAGGCTTTCCCTTTCCGTTTTGGTGCCCATCCCTCGCCGCTTTGGTTCACTGAGAAGACCTGAGCAGGGGGTGAGCAGAGGGGTGAGTAGACTGAGTAAGCTAACCTCAACAAATCGCACCACGCTAGAGTTACACTAAGGCCCCATTTCCCTTGTGTTGTGATCTCAGGGGAAAGATGGGCAGGATGAGACTGTATCAGCTACACGTACGTAGCCTACTGAGGACCGGATGCCATTCCGATAGATCTCAATTCTATGGACGACTATATCAACTATCTTGACTGCTTCTTCTTCTCTTCTATCAACTACTAATGGGTAAAGCCTTCAGGGGCTGAAGGAGTGGGTGATCCGGCCAAGCCGCTAGGCGATCACGTGTCTCCTATAGATTCATATCACCTTGTATTGCTTTTGACCGTCATCAACTATTTTGCCACTCAACAAATAGATGGGATCATCAATGAAACGGGGAATTGTGATCTTCATTCCTTCGGCTCATAATCCATATAAACGCCGCTATTGAATATCCAATCTACATCCCGCATGATACATAAGTGAATTGTCTCAATTTGAGAGGGTGGTTTGGCTATCACTAATCCGCATACCTTTCTGGATAAGATCCTTTGATTTCTGTCTATCGTCTCCTTCATGGCAATCGTGCCCCTGCCCACGTGTATCTCCAAGACCTAGCATCAATTCTACATAACTTCTATGGCCCATATTATCTAGAACGGGCGAGTCAGGAAGAGAACCAGACCCAGCCACAGGACGCTTTTAAATTGACTCTATTTAAACGCTTGAATTGCAAGCTGAATTCTGCCTTCTGATTCAGCTGCTGAATCTAATGACTTTTGAGGCACAATAATGTCTTGGTGATACTATGAATTGATCTGACGAATATCAGGGGTTGAGGGGGTAGGAAACAAAAGTTTTGTGTCGCTCGGTGGTGGATTACGTTATACCCAGATAGTGGTTATTTTGGTTGACACCTACCCTAACCTATCCATACGCCAGTCTAGTCATAGCCACCGGCTCGACATGGATGTTAAAGCTGATTAATAATAATAAGTAGAAGAAAGTCAAAGGAGGGGCATACAGGTCGCCAGATGTATCTCGTGGGGCTTTCTATAAACCAGCACCATGTAGCCGCAGGTGAGACACGCAACTCCGTGTGGCAACGTTCATTAGTCGACTTCCCTTGCATTAATCCATCTATCATTGGCCAGCTTCCGTTTGGGGGCCGAGACCAAGCTTCTGGCTCCAGTCCGACCTCCGACCGCCCAAAACAAAGGCTTGTGTTTTGTGTTCAGGTTGGAAGGGGAGGCCGGAGTTGGGCCACAACTCCGGAATGAGGGCAAGCAATCCATCATCCTACTGAACCTCTTTTATTAGGGATGGCTGTTTGGCAATGATTCTTGCAGGGTGGGCGTTTCGAACACAGTGGACTTTTCTTCCTCTTTCTTTTCCCTAAACATTATTCCCCGTACACGTATCTGCAAGCATCATGCTCGCGTCGAATATCAGAGTCAGAACTCTGGCATCATGGCGACAAGCTCAGTTGAACAATACGTACGAGAATCTTCCATCGCAATGTTTTTCAATTCCCTCCCCTGAATCGAAACATGCTTACGATAATCACCAGACGTCTTCTTGTTACCCCGCACCGTTATAATTCCGACGATGCCCTCAACAGAATCTCCTCGAAAATAACACAACCCAAATCACAGGGTGCCTCACAAGCAATGCTGTATGCGGCCGGCCTAACAGAGGAGGACATGTCGAAGCCGCAGGTCGGTATCTCCTCTGTGTGGTTCGAGGGTAACCCATGTAACATGCACCTGCACGACCTTTCCGGGATCGTGCGCAATTCCGTCCACCGGGCGGGTCTGGTCCCTATGCGATTCAACTCGGTCGGCGTGTCCGATGGGATCAGTATGGGCACAAAAGGAATGCGATACAGCTTGCAGAGTCGTGAGATTATTGCTGATGGCATTGAGACTGTGATGAATGCGCAGTGGTATGATGCGAACGTGTCACTGCCGGGTTGCGATAAGAATATGCCTGGTGTGTTAATGGCGATGGGACGCACGAATCGGCCTAGTATCATGGTCTATGGTGGTAGTATTAAGCCCGGATGCAGTGCAAAGGGCCAAAAGTTGGACCTGGTCAGTGCGTTCCAGGCGTATGGGCAGTATATCACGGAGCAGATCGACGAGGCAGAGCGGTTCGATATCATTCGCAATGCATGCCCCGGCAGAGGTGCCTGTGGTGGTATGTACACGGCCAATACGCTGGCGACGGCCATTGAGACTATGGGTATGACAGTTCCCGGTAGCAGTAGTTGTCCGGCAGACGATCCCAGGAAACTGGTCGAATGTGAGAACATCGGCGAGGTGGTCAAGAATATGCTCAAAGAGGATATTAAGCCCAGGGATGTCATGACACGTCAAGCATTTGAAAATGCAATGATTGTGGTGAACATCTTGGGTGGCAGCACAAACGCTGTCCTGCATTTGATTGCTATTGCTGACTCTGTCGGTATCAAGTTGACTATCGATGACTTCCAAGCAGTGTCCGACAAGACACCGTTCCTAGCTGACTTGAAGCCATCTGGAAAATATGTTATGCACGATCTATATAACATTGGGGGTACACCAGCCCTCCTCAGATACCTTCTGAAGGAGGACCTGATTGACGGCTCAGGAATCACTATCACCGGCAAAACAATGAAGGATAATGTAGCCTCGTGGCCCGACTTTCCTGCTGACCAGGACATCATTCGACCCCTGAGCAAACCCATCAAACCATCCGGTCATCTCCAGGTTCTCCGCGGATCACTGGCTCCTGGCGGTTCCGTGGGTAAGATTACTGGCAAGGAAGGTCTGCGGTTCGAGGGCATAGCCAAATGCTACGACTGCGAAGAAGCATTTATCGACTCTCTTGAGCGGGGCGAGATTAAGAAGGGCGAGAAGACGGTCATTATCATCCGCTACGAAGGTCCAAAGGGTGGTCCGGGAATGCCTGAGATGCTTAAGCCCAGCGCGGCTATTATGGGTGCCGGTCTTGGCCAGGATGTCGCGCTGCTCACAGATGGGAGATTCTCTGGTGGTAGCCACGGATTCTTGATCGGACATATCGTGCCTGAAGCCATGGAGGGCGGCCCGATTGCGCTGGCCCGAGACGGTGATAGGATCGTGATTGATGCTGAGGCAAGGGTGGTTGATCTGGAGGTCCAGCCTGAAGAGCTCGATAAGAGAAGGAAGGAGTGGAAAGCACCTCCATTCAGATACCAGAAGGGAACCTTGAAGAAGTATTCTGCCCTGGTCAGCGATGCCAGCCATGGTTGTGTGACGGATGGACCAATCTAGATATCTCGCTAGCCAGAAGCCGTGATGGCATTAAAAAGTATATAATGCATTATATACTTTAGGGGAACGTTGAGCAACTATTGATTGAGCGACGTACTTGGCTACATTTTCGTCCTTACTGTAGGTCATCGCAGGCTCATGGTATGTATTTCAGGATGATGACAGTTACTCTCCATTAGCTTTCTACTTGTGTCATTGTGTATGTTAGTTTGATGACCTAGGCAATCTTGAGGGCTGTTCATCAGACATAGCTGTCAAACTACCCATGCAAAATAAAGGGCGGGTGATGCCCGCGTCAGCATGGGGCTGCCGGGTGGCCACGGCATCGTGGGGACAGAACCTGAGTGGCTCGAGGCTGTTGAGCTGTTCCACAAGTCCATGCGCAAGCACGACAAGCCTTACTCGGGCTTCTGCCTGGCTAAGGGTGATTCGTTCCTCAAGGGGAAGAGCCACATGTCCATGTGCATAGTGGCCGGAGACACGCTCAAGCTGGGTGAGATGATGGGACACTTGACGGAGAGGAGAGCCGAGATGACTTAGAAGGAAAAGGGTGCAGTGCCAAGTAAGGACTTTCAGTCTACTCTTGGTTGAAACAGTGGCGAAAGAACATGCACGATGGTCTCTACTCAGACCCCCACAGCAGCACATGAAGTCGTGTTTTGGTCCTTTGGCCAGCCAACTAGAGGTAAATTGCAATGTGAATAATGTTACAAGTAGATATTGAGAGTAGTATTTTTGTCATGGGAATGTGAAGGATATTGTAAAATTAATTTTACGTAGTATTTTCTTCTGGCTTGCCAGTCTTGAGTACGGCAAGCAATTGAGAGCACTCTGTCACATCGTCAATTTCCCAAAGTAATATCACAAACAGGATTAGTATTTTCACCATAGGGATTTTAAAACAATCAAAGAGTAGAAGTGGGTGTCTTGCGATCCGGACACTGTGTACGATCGGATGGCCTGTGGAGCCTCTGGAAGCCTTTTCTGACCCGGACACGCACTCCACAACTGCCAACTGACGTTTGCATGTGTGGCGCGGGGCTGTCATATTAGGCAGAAATTTTGAACCTTGAGGGGATTTGAATTGCTGAGACCGATGTTGTATAAGCTACACTACTCAATGTAAGTCGAGGCAGAATCTGAAATAGTTATACTAGATCCAGTGGTAGGAATAACACGAAATATGCGGATACTTGTTTATGTCGCGTATATATAGTTAAAGTTGCATAACTGCCTTATACACTTCGCTTCGAAATGTATATCGAGCTACGTATTGAGAGTTAGGCGTACGGCCAGCAAGGTTTGATGGCTACCACCAAGAGCGCTAGATCTTGGAAGTCGGACCCGACAAGTATAGAGACCGTGGTTGTACGACCTCCATTCCCACGACCACCAACTGGCGACTCTAGAAAAGGTAAGATCCCTCGGATCGTCTATCTACAACGATACTACCTCATCGGTCTCCCCACCAAGGATTAGAATAAAACGATTTCTCTTATAGCATCTCCTCCTCAACCAGTTGTCCATCATCCCAACATTTTCTAGCAGCCGGACCACCGAGCGAACGAGACATCGCGTCACCGCCGGGTCCCTTTTGAAGCCTATCAGGATTATGAAGCTACTATCGTCAATCGCCGCACGAACACACTGATTGACGCTGACTTTCCGTAACGTACGATCATAGAAACGCGCATTCCAATCCAGCTCTCACCCCCACCGGTGGCAATGCTCTGTGCTTCTACTGGATTCTCACGATTCACGCTTACCGTGTTGGTCCGGTTCCATTCCTCTCGCTCATAAACATAGAAGGTGATAGTAATATTCCGACCCAACCTAGCGCCACTAGAAGATCCCTATCGGCGGTCTCAGAGTCCAGGGCAGCCGGAGCCGCAAGTCCACTAGGTGTCTATTCTGCGCTCCCCATTTCTGAACGGCCCGCGCGTGGGACAACCCAATCAGTCACATTAATCTGTGTAGCGGACTTCTCTACTCGCCTCTGGAGTTTGACAGCTCTGCGCCAGGCTCTCTCCGTTGGTGGATCCTGGGAGGAGCTACCCTTCCTGGGAAGCTGTGGCTTCGCTTTGTTGAACGGCAGGGCTGCTTTACTGTTCCGGCGTCGGGGAGGCCTCTTCTGTTTGCGCTTCGAGGGTTTCACGGTTGTGCGGGTGGCCATTGTACGTGCGTCTGAAGGAAGTTGCGAGTGCATGATGCTGCGACGAGAATTGGCTGCCGATCAGACTGGGATGAGGAGGATATCAGATCAACTCTAGGTATAGAGCACGACCTACACGAGGGATAATGGGGTGAACCATCTCCTTGTTTTCCTTACCCCCGTCCAACAGCGGTTCGCAGACCCCGATAAAGTAAAAGTCGGCGATGACGCAACGCGCAGACTGGCGTGGAAAGTTAGCTGTGTTAGAAGGTTTATGCTGAGACCTCTTACCTTGGTATCCTCTGTAGTACTTGAATAGTAGAGGGGGCTGAATAAAAAATTCCAGACCAGCATTTTGTCAGACAAAGGGCCCTACAGCATCTGGCCAGGCGTCTTTTAACTGAGCTAGAGGCGGATTCTTACTCAGTAGGCCTGCACCAGTTCCTCCTAGTCAGCCAGCACATCCGTGGATAGGTCCCTGCGGGTAGAGAAGAGAGGGGGGAGGGAGAGAAAATGAGAGGAACGAGGGCTTTTTAGGCGTTGAGGTTGATGCCTGCTGACTAGGCACGAAAACAATGATAAGGGGCTACCGCGATAGAAGTACGCGGTGGTGAGCATTGATAAGGCTGACATCGACAATAAGGGATTGCAGAGTTACGATGATACGAGGTTGCGAGGTCCAAAGAGCCTCTTATTTGTGGTATTTGCACGCTGGTTTGTTTCGCTTTCGCAACGCGATAGCAACCCCATAGCGGCCAATGCCGCAATTCATTATAAGGATCATCATCATAACTTGGTATGCCAGAAAGCTAGGTATCTCATGTTCTAGTAAACTCCCTAATTGCACTAATATTAGACCCCACGTTGAGTCGAGAAAACTGCGAAAGCGGCCCAGAGTGTTTGTATCCTATATCTACATATTTAACGTTGAAAATTTGCCAGTCCGTCAATCCGGATACAGGTTAATAGCAACATGTTGAATGCCAGAGAGGTATTCTGAATTGTTGAATGTACAGATCAAATTGACTGAAGAAGGGGAGGGACGGGAATAAATTTGGTCTCCTGTGGGCGTCGCCTGGAAACACTCCCTCCCCTTTTTGTTTTTTTTTTCCCCTTGGTTAGCACCTTTCAACCGGGACAGCTTTAGTGTTCAGGATAATGTCCTGCCATACTGTGAATGTCTTCATATATTTCATCTCTCCAGACGGGTCCCACTGAGTCATACTGTCTGCTGGCACGAGATCAAAATTCCACAGTAAGCGACAAATGATAAGCCGTGCCTCGAGGTACGCTAGACTTTTGGAAATATGAGTCTGGTTTGAAGTTAACAAAAGTGGGGAAACATAAACGTACTATTTGCCAATACAGGCTCGAGGACCAAGCCCAAATGGTTGGGATGCTGCCCTTGTATCTCCGTGGTGCTTGTCCTTGTCAATCCAACGATTAGGGGAAAAGCTGTCAGGATCCTGAAAGTTGGCCGCATTATGTGTTGCACTCCATGATACGACGGACACCGTCACCTGCATTTGGGTTTTGTGAGTCTTTCTGCTGCACTTCCCACTGCAGTATCTAATGGATTCAATGAGGACTCACTCCGCCTGGTACTAGATGTCCGTCAATGAGGGCCCCCTCCTTAGGGACAGTCCTCGGCAACCCAATCGGTGCAGGTGGAAAGATACGCAGAGCTTCCTCGATACAGGCATTTAGAAATGGGAGTTTAGCTACATATTTTGAGCAGATTTCATCTTCATCCTTGAACGAACTGCGTATTTCAGTAGTGAGCCGGGTATAGGTGTTTTTGTCTCCCAAAAGATGGTAGGTAAGGGCAGACAAAAGACTTGCGGTTGTTTGACTACCAGCGAATCTGCAGATGCTGTTAGCCTACTCTATCCAGCACAGTGCACAATGGAGGGCAGGCTTTTGGAAGGCACTTACAGAAGAACGGCCGAGTTTACGAGTATTTCGTCTGCGGAAATCTCGCCTTTGATTTCCCTCTGCTGCATGATAAGGGACATGAGGTCTTTGCGAACAGTGTTCGCCTCTAATCGTCGCCTGGCTAGGCTTACACTAAGAATAAGATGTTTATCCATATGCGCCCGAAGTTTAACCGGGATGAACCCGATCAGTAATCTGTAGAGGATAGTCCCATGTCCAAATAAGCGCCGAATGGCTTGTTCAGAGGCACTTTCTTTCACTGTTTGACTTACTATTGGTGCCCAGTCATTGGATTCTCCTGTATTATATTAGATATGCCTGCATCACAGCGTCTTCTCACCTTCTTCTAGGCATCCAAGCTCCTCTCCAAAAATGAGAGCCAGAATAATATCCAATGTCGTTATCTTGTAACACTCGGCCATATTAAAGACTTCCTTCTTGTTTCCCATACAGTGAACAACTTCCATCAATCGCGTGACCTGTGCCTGGATAACATCTTCTTGCTCCAGTATTGCCTTCGCTGAGAATGCGGGAGCGATCGCACGGCGAAGGCGGGAGTGCGTAACCTCGTCTGCCATGTTCATGGGAAGGGCCTCAGGTAATCCTTTGACGGTGCCGACGTGAATTGCATCTTTTTGCATGCCTTGGAGATAGATATCCCGCCAGGCCTTCGCAGAATTGAAAGTGAGCTCATTTGGACCCACCCGGACCACAGGACCTGGGTTGGTTAGAGTAGGATATGGGCAATGAGCAAAATGCGACATACCGAATTTATCATGGAGTATCTTGATGTCCATCGGTCGCCTCGCCTGGAGAAGCGATCTGATGGTAGGGATGGATGATATAGCATTGAATTTTGGGCCAGGAAAATTGGCCAAAGCATGGAACCTCAGTCGGTAGATGACAACTCCTATAACCCACAGGACTCCCTGGTAGTTTATTAACATTTACGGAAATAAGAAGAATTGGATCGTGGAATAAACGTACTAGCAAAATTGCCGCTCCAGCCACGAGTGTGGCCTTCTCATAACTCGGTATCACATCGAACATCGTCTCGGGGTTGACTAGTTGCGCAGTGTAGAGATAGAAAGAAGACCCCCTGGTTTTATGAAGATTTGAACCGCAGATGGCCCGGTCATGGGCCAGCACATTTATAATTATCAATTTGTGAGACGGAGATATGGCCGGTCCTAAACATACGGATGGAACATCGCGTTACTGTGTTGGAACGCACCTAGCCTGCTGCTACCCCCTTGCCTTCTCCTTTTACATATCCTGGAGCACTGTATGGCCAATAAATTATCCCCTTTCCCTCTTCCCTGCCACGCTGCCTTGAAGACAAGGTTAGCTGGGTAATTCCTCTCTAAGACATCTGCAACTGTCGTTGCGTGAGTGTCTCTGCCTTTCTTACATTTACACCACTCAAAGCTTGGTGTTCGCCATGGAGATGACGCTATCCTCTTCTATTGTACACACTAATGACATCTATTGTTCAACTCTATTACACGTCATCTGCTTCAGATTTAGGAATTACTTGTAAAGAGCCGACAAGAATATGGAAACATCGCCACTGGGTCCTCTCAGACGCACAAATGCAGGGAGCCCGGTCACAGACTAACAAAATATGTGGATGTTTTATAAAATCTTTCACCTTCGTTCAGTCTATTCAACTTTATTGCATGACCTTTTGTATGTGAACCTGAAGCTGGTAGTAGTCGTATTGTAAGCCGCATTGTTGTGAGTTGAGCCTCGATCATATACTATAGAGCTTGACACGCCGAATTTGTTTCGTATAGAATCGGATTAATGGGAAATACTCCAGCTGTATAGAACCCTCTAGATTTTTAGGACAAATTATCAACAATGGAACCTTACCTGTGTTACAGCATGCGTAGCCCTCTTCATTAGGCATCTGTGACAGCGGATGATGTGGTCGTCAAACAGGTAAACGTCATCCCGGCTGTCCATACCCTCCAAATTGACTGTTTCTTTTTCCCTTTTTCCATTTTCAATTCGTTTTATTTTGTTTAATTTTCTTTTCTTTTCTTTTTCTTTTGGTCTCCGTAGTACAAACACCAATACTACAACTAGCATTGCCGTAGACTGAAACTGAGACATTCAGGGAGGCATGTTTCACAAACTTCCATCTCTTCCAATGAAGGTATTGAATTCAGGTCAAATCACACGCATCCATATCCGTCTATGCTAGTATTGCATAGATAATTACATGGGAGGAATACAGGAACTCTCTGCGTAGGTGGATTGTCTTGCCTCGTCAAACCCAAATCCAACGCACGTTTCTTGATTAGAAGCCCCTAATTTCGGAGAGAGGAGGGCATGTTATCATTTAAGTTATATATAAGTCTTTCTAATCCTCTTTCATGTCTGTTGGCAAGAGACGATTTGCATAACTAAGCTACCTCATTACTTCCTGTGCGCTCTACATACCAGTCGGTTCTGTCACACTTGATATCGCCATCCAAAATGGGTTCTGAAGACTTCTGCAATATCCCTAGCCTTGTAGATGCTATGAATAAGGTCACGGCAGCCTACAAATCCTCCCTGCTTCCTGACCCAGCTGCTTCACCTTCGCCAATCCTTTCGGAAACAGAAGTTGAGCGTCAACATTTGGCAAGCGCTGCCAGGGGACTTTTGGCTGTTGTGCAAGAGCCAAGGCAGGCTGTGCTTCAGTTGGGGCTGCAGGGTCCCTTGCTAGCCTGCATCCGAACAGCGATAACACTGAACATATTTGGTTTGATTCCGCACAATAGCGAGGGTATCACCGCTACAGAGCTCCAAGTCAAAACCGGAGCGGATAAAGCGTTGATTAGTGAGTACTCTGCCTCACATAGCGAATCTGAGTACCACTGATAGCTTCGGAAAGTTCGGATAATGAGGGCAATGACGTCCAGCAAGCTGGTTTTGGAGTTAGGCGAAGAGAGATATGCCCATACCCCGACTTCGCTAGCTTTTCTGTCTCCAGTGTGTGGTATATTTACTCACTTGTAAGTAGTCAAATATCAGTCGAGGTTTCCCACCACATGATCTCAATAATGGGCCCTGGATTGACCATTGTCAAAGGTTTGACGAGGGACTACCAACTGCTTGGAAGATACCCGAATACCTAGCTACCATGGGCTATAAAGACCCGAATGAGAATGGCATGACCGCTTTCCAATACGCGTTCCAGACACATCTCCCCTTTTTTGAGTGGCTTGGGGTACACCCGAAGCAACGAGAGTCATATATCACTGGCATGAGTTCGAGTTATCGCGGTGGGAAGAGTGTGGGACTCGCATATCCATTTGATATCGAATTGGCAGGTTGTACTGAGAATGAAGTGGTGATGGTTGATATTGGTGGAAATGCGGGACAACTTTTGGTGCAAATCAAGGAAAGGTTCCCCCAACTGTCTGGACGTATGATTGTTCAGGATCGTGCCGAGACACTGAAGGCAGCTCAGCAGAAACAGGGGATTGAGTATATGCCACATGACTTTTTTACCCCGCAGCCCGTTATTGGTACGCCACTTACTGGCCACATTTTGTATTTTGTTCGTATTCCTCGCTCTAACCATTTTATAGGTGCAAAAGCATATTATTTTCGCAGCATCTTCCATGATTGGTCAGACGCTTTCTGCCGCAAGATCCTACAAAATCTGGTCCCGAGTATGACACCAGGGTACTCAAAACTACTTATTTCCGACGCCGTGCTTCCCTCGGTTGACGCACCCCTGTATTGGGCGCTTATGGATATTCAAATGATGGGAATCTCCGGCCTGGAGCGAACGGAGAGACAGTGGCGGGACCTACTAGAGAGTGAAGGTTTACAAATCGTGAAAATCTGGGCTTCAAAAGCTAAAGATGAGTTCGTTATTGAGGCTGCCCTGCCATGTTAATGTTGCCTGCCTCCCACCTCCCCCCATCCCCCCCGGGACTTCCGAAATGGCCAGGGATAGCTAGTCATCTTATTTGTTTAACAAAGTCTGGATATATATCTCTGGTAAAGTGCGTTTCTCTGGAGGATTGATATTATCTAAACTGAACCAGTTCTAAATTGTACGCTTGTTCCATATTCAGATGCTCTCGCCGGGGGCTCAGGCCACGGCGTTATCAATACTGGCTACCGCCTCCTCTTTAGAAACAAGGATGACATAGTTAGATACTCTGAATATTTAAGCAGATGAAGTGGATAGCAGTCAGCTCGTACGAGACCTATCTAGCGTACTCACGAAGCAGTGGGTCCTTATTAGCATGAATAGGAATTCCATAGGTGCTGAACTATAGACGTTCAAATTCCGTATAGGATCAAATTGATTTCCAATCATCCAGATGTTGATCTTGTATATATCCCCTCAGGTCTTCAGAAGTAACCAAGTACAATCAATCTCCCTCTGAACGACAACAGTTCCCATTCCTTACGCTTGAAGGGGAAATAACAAGATGGGTAACATGCAAGAAGCTCACAGTAATTGTATGCGTTAAGTAATATATCAGTGGGTATAATAACATCTGTAGATCCTGGACATAGAATGAAGTCACTACCGCAGTAACATGCACATCAAATAGTCCTTTCACACCATAACCAATTAACCAGAGACTGGCCAGATTGCGCAGCATTCGCTAATTCCATATCCAGCATCGTAATAAAAAGCCTTTTCGTAAAAACAAAAAAAGAGCAAACGTAAAATGTCTTCTTTATCCAGAACAAATTCCTGTAAAGCCGCTAAAACATCCATCGCCGATTCCAACTTTGGTTCCAGTAATCTTCTCCGCAACGGGTCAAACTTGGACTGTTCAAGGAGGAAGTAAAACTCGGGTAGTAAGAGTCTGATAAAAAGCATGTAATCATTACACGTCAAAGCATTTCCGGTACACCTTTCTTCTCTTACCTTAATTGTTTATATTTTGTTGTGCGCTCTCTAAAAGCAAGGCTTGGAGAACTTTAATTCGTGACCCAAGCTGTTAAGGTAAAACACAGAACAAGTGAATGATTGCATGATTCATGGAAGAGGAATCACTCACGAAAACCGCTCTCCAAAGCTTCATACCGGGCACATCTACCTTAAATCGGCACAGTAAGCATAAGCGGAACAAATGGTAAACCTGCAGCGGGGCTGAAGTACAACAGTCGATGATGAGCTAGTTCCGAAGCCACCCATTCTGGGATCCAGAAAGTAGTTGGCATCGACACACTAGTGTGCCGTCAGGCAGTGAGAGAGGTGGAATCTAGCCCATGACCTAAATTCCACATTTAAGTTACATGTGTATTCTTCTTACCACTTTTTTATTTTCAATACCTTTACCATTGATCTGTACAAAACATTTTATAAAAGAAAGCAGTGCATCAAAACTAGATAAAATAAGTAATAAAAATTAATAGTCTGAATAATTCTATGACTGATTTTTTCCTATGATGGACTTTCTGAGTAGTGTGATAATGTAGAGTATACGATGTAAATATATATACATATCCATGCAGGCTAAACAATGCTAACAAAGCAACTTGGTAACTACTTCTAAAGTACTTGGAAACAGATTAATAGTGAACTAGTCTTCATTTTCTGACTCTAACTCACACAACTCTTGCTCTTTCTTTCTGATTTCATTCAGCTTTGTGAGTAATTCAGCCTTGAGATGCTGAATTTTTAACTCCTCTAGTCTCTGCACCTCAGTACCCTGAGATTGCTCATGTGAATTAGTAGTAGCAACTCTTTGAAGACTGGCTTGAGAGCTACTAGAAAAGTAATGTATAAGTAGGCTGACCATTGGGATGGGATGGGACGGGAATGGGAATTTTCCATCCCATCCCATCCCATTCTTGGCATCCCATCCGTTTCCCATCCCATCCCAAACATAGGGCTAGAACGGGAATCCCAATCCCAATTTTAAAGTGCGATAGGATTCCTATCCGGATTAATCTTAGAAACAGGATTCCCATTTTTGGCTTGGCATTATTTTGGGATTTTGGGATGGGATAGGATTCCCATTTTCTATCCCAAAATCCCAAAATCCCAAAATCCTATCCTATCCTGAAATTTCTGGGATTATCCTGTTCCAACAGTCAGAGTCCCTAATCCAACTATATAGATAATCCAGGCCATATAATAGATTGATTTTTAAGAAAGATTCTGAATTCTTTAGATATAGAGCCTTCAGCCATAAATTAAAGAATTATTCGTAGTAGTAGAAGATCAAGAATCAGTCTCCTGTCTAAATAGTATCTGTAGGTAGGCCGACTATTGGGATAGAATGGGACAGGAATGGGAATTTCCTATCCTATCCTACTTTCCCTCTTAGCATCCCGTTTCCCATTCCATCCCAAACGTAGGGCTAGAATGGGAATCCCAATCCTAATTTTAAAATGGGATAGGATTCCCATCCGGATCAACCTTGAAAACAGGATTCCCATTTTTGGCTTGGCATTATTTTGGGATTTTGGGATGGGACGGGATTCCCATTTCCCATCCCAAAATCCCAAAATCTCAAAATCCCATCCCATCCCGAAATCCCTGGGATTATCCCGTCCCAACAGTCAGCCTACGTATAAGTACTTTATAAGTAATTTTTAAGCACTTAAGGACCTTACCTAGATCTTGCCCGGGAGCTTCCTCGCTGGCTTTGACTGCCTCTTCGGCTGCCTCTTTGGCTTGGAGTTCTCTGTAATGGTCTTCCACTGCTAGATGACGGAAAGAATAGTTGATCCTGATCTTGAATATTTAACTCAGAAGAACTAGATTCTTCTTCTTGCTGAGCTACTTTTGAAGTACTTAGATTAATAATGTACTGGATGAAGCCATATGATGAAGACAGCTAGCTTCTAGTGTTTGTGTTGCATACCAGTGCCGAAGACCATAAGCAATGTACGCCCGATTTTGTTATATCTAATTTTAATGACCTATAAATATATATAAATGGTTAACGGGCAGTCTTAGAAGATTTAATAAGTACTTACTCCAGAATTACTTGCAGCAGTATTAACTGCTTTCCATGGCAATTAGATTTATCATGTATTTGCTCAACTGCATTTATACGCTTATAAACCAGATCAAGGATATGATTTGGAATCAAATATCAATATTTTTTAAGACCTGCAGCAATAACTGCATTCTTTTTATGCCGGGCCCAGTTTTGTATAGCTGGATGTTCATATTCTAGAAGTAATTAGTTCCTAAGTACTTAATAAAACGTTTAGTAACCAGCTAGAAAGTACATACAGATTAAGCATTCATACCACTTGTGATAATCCTCCTTAGATTCACAGTCTAGAAGTGCAGCCGTTCTTGCCTCAAGATGCTGATTTAAAGAAATTTTATGAATAGTTTCACAAACCGCTTGAAGAAAATGCACCCGACATAAAATAAGGCTATTCTTTAGAATCAGAGACGTGAATGATGGGCTGGGTCAATCTCTATTAAAAATAGAGATAATCCTAATACTAAGTGACTAGCAATTGCTTGATAAATACTTAGAAAGTGGTTATAATATAACTTCAATCCGCTTATCATCCATATCTGTTACCAAAGCATGAAGTCCGGTGCCATGTAAGGCACGAAAAGTAAGTCTTTACCAGTTAACTTATATTGTCACGGATCGAATAGCGATTCAGCCTGATGACTGTACAGGATACCCTGACTCAGGTGCATGGAAAATTGGCCACTGATGAGGAACATCAGGCCACACGACAGATTTGGTTCAAGGGGGATTCTGAATCCTTTAGACATGGGGCCTTCAGCTATAAATTAGCGAATCGTTAGTAGTAGTAGGAGGTCAAGGATCAGTCTCCGGTCTGAATAGTATCTATTGCCTGCTTTTTGACTTCTCTCTTTCCTTTAGCCTACGTACCCTTACCTAGTTGACAGGTCCTCTACCCTGTATAGTAGATCCACTGCGTATAGCTGCTATTGCTGACAAATCTCTGTCAACCTGTTTTCCGCAACATTTCGATACCCCCGTTGACGTGTGCAATCCTAAAATCTATTCGACCGTTTTAATTATGGACCACTCACTTGAAATCTTTGATAAGTACCCGAAAAGTGCATGTAATGCTCTATAGAACTCATCCTGATAGGCGGCCTTAAGAGGTCGCATCACTGCTTCTTTACCAAGCTGTGCTGCAAAAGATAGATTTCTCAATGAGGATTTCCTTAGCACAGCTTCCGCTAGCGCCTCGATGGTCTAATATTTATCCAATGGAAATAGGACAGAAGGATCAGTAAGATAGTAATGTACAAATCTGTTTAGATTAGCAAGACATTTTAAATAGTAAAAATGAGAGCATGTACCTGGCATATTGTCTGGTTAGAAAGATGTAGACAATATAATCAGCTCGGAAGTCCAGGGGCTCAGATAGGACTAATCCTATTCATAACATAACCTTATTCCTTCGTTATCTAGATCTCGAGGGATGCGCAGGTTTACTAGAACTTCACGTAGGATATTTCCTGCTGTACAAGTAAGTCTACGCAAGTCTATAAGAGACTGCTGAAATCCTGTCTGTGCAATATGTTGAAAAGACTATTCCTCATCATTCAGGGTCGAAATGACGTGGTGCTTCTCCACAGCACTAAAACCATGGACGATGTTACATTACAAGAAGACTTAAGTGGGGATTCCTGCTAACGTTGCCAGGATAGTGAGGTCGAAATAGTCATACCGCATGGATGACATGCGTAAGATAGTTTAACAGCCAACCGCTAGTATGCTGTTGATCACTTTTAAGAATATCCGTAAATGACAGGAAAACGGAATAACTTCACCAGCCCCATCGTAGTGGGGTTGAGCTATGTTATTCAATTGTTTGTTTGCCTGTCCCTCCCTATTCAAGAGGTATTAAGCACAACAATAAATTGGAGAGCTTCAGCATGGCAACTTGATGTGCTCAGGTACCACTAATGTATCTTCATCCAGTAGTTTTATTTAGACGGCTCTGTTTATTTCCGATTGTCCCCTGGGTAGCATGGTACTTTGACCACCACCGTAGTCGTAAGTAGTAGGTTGATTAGATAGAAAAGTTGGTTTCGCCCCTTCCGTACCGTAGAAGCTTCACATGTTTCTGCCTTGCACGGCTTAGCGAAGTGAAAGAAATTCCTGGCAGGATTTGTCCACGTACTCCGTTGATAAGGGTCCGGAACTATGTGCGACCCTCCGTCACAAGTTAGCAACATACAGGCTTCACTGCGGATTTATCAACGTCCTTATACCTGCCAATATGGAAGGTTAGGCGAGAAGACTAGTATAAGAATAATCGGTTCCTCTACGGAGTTTGGGTGCAAGTAGCAGCCACATGAAAAGCAAAGCGTATCGTCCACTAAGCCTACCTGATAACGACATCAGTCATATTACTGAAGGACCTTGATAATAATGGCTCCACAAGGATTTAATGTGCTGATTGTGGGTGCAGGCATTACTGGATTACTTCTTGCCCAGACTTTGAAGGCGGTATGGAGAAATCTAAACAGATGATGCGAAACGAAACAATTAATAGCCTACTTTGTAGATAGGAATCCGTTTTAGAATCTTCGAGAGTGAGGTATCAGCTGTCCGCTACAGACCACGCGAATGGGCAGTTGCTATACACTGGGCCCTTCCAATGCTTCGCGAGGTCCTCCCCCAAGATCTCTGGCACCGTCTAAAAGATACCCAGACAGATCCTCTTCAACTTGCTTCCAATTCCGATTATATTTCAGTTTATAATTCTGGTACTGGCAAGTTGTTGAAGAAGCTGCCAGGAGTGGGAATGCGGAGATTTTCTCGACGAAAATTACGAGCCTTGTGCAGTGAAGGTATTGCCATCGAATACAACAAGACCCTCACAGAGATAGTATATCAAAATGAACGAGGGGTCACCGCCAAATTTGGAGACGGCACGGAGTGTTCCGGAGATATCCTCATTGGTTGTGACGGTGCTCATTCCAAAGTCCGCAACCTTCTTTTTGGAGAAGCCAGTGCAAAACCAGTGTCATCGGGGGTGTCCCAATTTTCTGCCTCATTTTCCTTTAGTAGCGCGGCCTTTGCCGATTATATGCGGAGGGGGATCCCACTATCATCGGTTGGGTTAAACCCTAGCGGCGTTTACCTTTTAATCTATCTGCTTGAGACTCCCGAGCCCTCTTCCCCGGAGACCTGGATTTTTCAGATTAACTGGTCATGGCTTGGTCCACATGACCCCAGCCTCGATGATGCGGGGAGGCTTGCAAAAATAAAGAGCATGGCTGATACATTTTCGGAACCATTTCGGTCAATCTGCCTTGGAATTCCTGGTGATACCAGGATCTATGCAGATTCTTTACACTATTGGGTTCCTAGGCTCTGGACCCCTAATAGAGGCAGAGTTACCCTAGCGGGAGACGCGGCACACCCAATGCTTCAACGTGGGTACTGTATACCTATAGCTTAGATTCTCCTCACTGATGCTTTTCTGGATTATAGATCGTGGTCAGGGAATCAATAACTGTATCCGTGATGTCCTGGAACTTGCCAACGCTATGAAACTAGGTCAACAGGATGACCATGGCCTTATGGATGTGATATCATCTTATGATAGAGAAATGATCAGCAGAGGAGAGGTTGAGGTCCAAAGCTCCGTCAAGGATGCGCTTTTGCTCCATACATGGCATAAAGCCATGGAATCACCGTTTATGAAGATGTCTGTTGGTCCTAGGTTTTGAGGAAGTGACGGGTCATTTCAAGCAAATAATAATAAGAGTGTGGTTTAAAAGATAATTCCCGGGAACCCGTCATGCGGGTACTGTACAGGAAGGAGTCGGGAGCTTTTCTATGATATCATGACTATCGAGATGTAACATTACTGTTCATCGGGGATAAAGCACCGAACCCCCAGCGTATCCGGAACGGGTCTTACCAGAACTAGTCTTGTATCAATTCTGCTGCTAGGTATTAGTGATTCTCACCTAATTGACAGTCGTTCTGCCCTATATAAGCAGATCCTTTACAGTTGTCACTGAGGCATTCCCAGCTATAAAGAATAATTCATGATTAATCCCTATTGCGCAAGATATTCTACTCTCACATCAAGTGGCTTGACTCTCAAACTAACTACTAGACAGGCTGGGAAGGGAAGACTGTCTATATAATGGGTATAATTACAGGCGTCATAGTGGAATGCCTTGAGTGAGTACAACGTAGACTTAATTATTAATAGAAGCTAGCTAGGAAGATCCTCTACTTAGTGATCTTACTTTTTCCAACACCCTCTCTAGTTCTGGCGACTCTGACCTGCTTCGTGTCGGGCGAGCTTTTGAGAGAAGTAGAGACAGCTGATAGAGGGAAAGCTCTCCCCTACATCGTATGAGCTCAAGCTCCGAACAGCTGCCTCCAGTGCCAGGGATTGAATGGTGATTCCGCCCAAAAGCTTAGCAGTCCCCTCCATTAAACCCGGGCCCCTGTGTATGATCTAGACCTCGGCAGAAACATTTAGAGGGCCGAGGGCGGGCGGGACTTTGCTTGCCCTCGCCAGACCCTCAGAGGGCGGCTGTCAACCGCCCTTATCAGCCCTTATTTGCGGAAAATTTTCGTAACCTTTCCTAATTAGGATATGTAAAATTGCTCATTTACTTAAATATATTACTATTACTTACAGCTGTTTAGTTAATGTCAGAGCCTTATGGGAGCCTAAGGCATCAACCACGTGGCCTGACCACAATACCAAAAGAATCTCTGTATGGTAGATTTAGACCTTAAGACAATCGATCCCATACACGTGAGCTACAACAGCTCCATCAGTTAATATATTGATTTTAGTAAGCTACTTTGTTCTAACGTATTTCACTGGTGAGCAGGCCACACCAACAAGCAGGCCACCTCTGTATCCCATACTAAACAGTCACTTTTTAAGATCCAGTATCTCAACCACACCTTATCTAAAGTAATTCATATTTATATAACAATATATTAAAGTAAGATTTAATATCAGTATTTAGATTTTAAAGGATATAAGTCTATATATCTTGAGGTAATATATATTACAATGTATTTTTTAGTAGTTTATTTTATACTAATATTACAAGCACTTAAAATAAGCTATAGTTATATAAAGTAGAAAAACATGTTCTGAAAGCCTATATACAGCTTCTATAAGTATATTATTATAATATAGCTAATGATGGTTGAGATATCAGACCTTAAAAAGTGACCGTTTAGTATGGGATACGGAGGTGGCCCGCTCGTTGGGCCCGCTCACCAGTGAAATATGTTATTAACAGGTAATCTTTGTCACGGATAGAGGTTTAGGCAATCAGTGAATGAGTGGTAGTCATGTGGCCCTTTGTTCATAAGGGCAACACAACACAATAGCTTCATGTTTCTTCTCTTTTCCTCTCTTTAGCTTAGTCTCTTGGTGATAGACTACCTAATCAACTATTGATTCAGCTGAGTTCCTTACACAATAATCATTCTCGGGGGCTCTATTTGCCTCGTGTTCAAGCACTGCCGGGTGGAAGTCAATCCTCAAGTGGAACGGACGACGGTTGGATAAGACCACAGCAAAGAAATACGAGCTCTTGGCGAGATTGCCCGTTTCGAGCGGGTGACCCTCTTTCAGGCAGGGGCTCGTATTCTCGTTTCCTTTTCTTCAGCCAACTCCTTCGTCGACGTTGTCCCCCATCTATGCAACCCAAGCATTCCCTACTACCTCAGATGGTCAACACGATTATGCACAGTGATATCTCTCCGCACGGCGCTACTCACTGGGCGGAGGGAGGCTATCTGTCGGCATTCCGAGCCCAATCCGCACTAAGACGAACTACTGCAGGGCTAGACCTCCATCAGAGTGGGCCAATGGTGAGGGTACTTGGCCTAGCGCGGCGAGGAAGCAAGACTCGACGCACACATCACAAATCCAGAAGTGGCTGCAGGAATTGTAAAAGCCGGCGAGTCAAGGTACGAGCCTCCACGGGGCCGTGTCGCCGCAGGATACTGACCCTGCGCGAACTTCCATAGTGTGATGAAACCCGACCAGAATGCACGCGATGCCAGGTCTATGGTGTCACCTGTGACTACAATCTGGCCCAGTATAAGGATGCCAGACAACAATCGGTCGCCGCAGCCTCGCGCAACGGCCCGCTGCATCGCAATGCGTCCTTGGCATTCGATGCAATGACGGCCAATATCGACGCGGTGCTGCAGGTCGGCCTGAGCGACGAACACCGTCACCTTCCTGGCTCCTCGGGAGGAGACAATCTTGGCGTACTGGGCCTGGACATTCTTACCCACTTTTCACGAATGGTCGCAGTCTACACGCCGAGGTTCGCCCACTTGAAGCAGGTCTTTCGAGAACGTACCTTCTACATAGCTCTATCGGTATGATTGGCCGATCCGTTTACACCCTCACTGGATAGAAAGCCCCCGGACCAACCGTGTGCTCTAGGAACCCTGCCTCTTATATGCTATGCTAGCGGCAGCGAGCACCCACAGAACCAGCGTCTTGCCATCCGATCCAAGTCAGAGCATGGTCGCCGCGCAACTTCGGCACGACGCGGCACGGATGTATCGACAGGAGCTACAATCACCCATCGGCCGGCACAACATGGACGTGTTGATGTCGACCTGTATCCTCATCGGCATGTTCTCCTTTTTCAAGGAGAGGATAGACCCAAGCGAGTCCTGGGTGCTGTCAGATGACTCTAGCGCCATGAACTGGCTGTCTGTCCAAGGTGGACTGCGATGTCTCATCGAACTAGTCAACCCGTGGCTCAATGAAAGCATCTGGAGTGACGCATTCAAAGTGGCCAGCACCTACGAATTCTACGACGACCACCGAATGGGCCGTGAAGACCTCGATCCGGATCTGGCCGACCTATGTGACATCAACGACGAAACCACCGAAGAAACGAACACGTACCACTGGCCCCTGCGGATGCTGTGCCCGTTACTGCGGATGCCTCGGCATCAGCCGGAAGATTCTCGCATCACCAACTTCATGGGCCGGCTGGAGCCGGGTTTCCTCGTCTTGCTGGGGGCCAAAGATCCGCGTGCCCTGCTTTTATTGGCATACTGGCTAGCGCTCATGTGCTCGTCCGTCCATGAGTGGTGGGTGGATGCTCGAGTTCGGTCCGAATGTCAGGCGATCTGTATGTACCTGGAATGGCATGGCGATCAGAGAATTGTGGATTTGCTGGAGTTTCCGGCTACGGTTTGTGGGTATCGATCAAAAATGGACTAGATCGAAAGCCGCGTGTCCCAGTGCTCCTGTATTGGTTCGACTTTTCCCCGTTCACTATACATACATACATAGTCTACAGTGGGGGGGGGGGGGGGGGGTGCAAAAGTATAGTCACCAGCTTTTCGTGTTAAAACCACTAAAATGACCGCCTTCCTATTTAGTGTAACGGGCCTCTGCAGATAAAATCGCCTGAGCATGATGAGGCATAGTATTAGATAGATTCTGCAGACCCCTCTTTTCTATCCCGTGCCAGGTCTCCTTGGATGTCTCTATTGCTCCTCGAGATATAGGATCCGTACTAGGTCCCGTTTTAGATCGAAAGACAAAGTCTAGGGACGACCTTGATATTGGTGAAGTTGTATCTAGCATACTGCCGTTATCTCGTGAATAACCATAAATTTTAAAGACTGGTGATATTGGTCTGGGAAATCCCGAGAAGTATTGTAAATGAGTTACTATGCGTCTGTAACGACAACCGTGTCGTCTGCCCGGAGGGTCTATGCACTGATGACAAGAATGCATTTGAACCTGACCGGCCTAAGAGCTCCCCTTCAGCCGAGTCACCTTTGCCGGAGGCATCGCTGTCAAAGATGGAGGTTTGATACCATTGGCTTAACTGTGGGGTATGGGAGTGAGTTCCCTGTCGCATCTGGTGAATATTCTGCGAGCCCAGATTGTTCATACTAGGACTAGTTGACGAAGGAAATTGGGAGGTCCCGCTAGTTGATCAGTGGTGAAGGCCAGGAAAGTTCTTCCGACTCATGAAAATAGTATCTGGATCACCCCGATTATGTCCTTTCTCGCAATTTGCAATGCTCCCCAAACCGTGGTGGTGTGGAGAAGCACGCGAGAAGTCAAGGGCTGTTGAGGGGGGTTCATGAGATACCTTGCGTAGCAGAGGCATAATGTACGGTCTGGGCTTTTAGTAGAAAGCTTACATCAAGGTTATGCTGGTTTCCTCAGATCTGTTGATCTAATCAATCTGAATGCGTCATCTGCATTCAGCTTACTGCAATCAGAATCCATTTTTCTGACACTAATTAATATCTAGAAGAGGGATATACCTGTTATTTAGTTAATTATATTATTATATATAAATTAAGCAGTAGATAGTAACTTTACCTCTATAGATTACTTCTAGTTAATAAATATTATAAATAATACTCTAATATCTGGTAATGTTCCCTGCATGTCAGGCGCACGCTCAAGCTCGGGATAGCGCTCATAAATAACTGCTTTCATAATGACTCAGAGATTCTAAATAAGGTTAAGATCAGGCAAGGAGGGAGGCCATACCATAATCTCTATACCTATAGTATTAAAGCAGACATTTTATAAGGCGCAAACCATACCTCATATACATGAGGTATAACCCAGGCAGTAACGCCTCCACACGCTGCTTCAAGGTCTTCTTCTAAAGCAAAAAGACTAGTGCGTTTATCAAAACGAAGGCCACCCTAAAATATATGCTTTGCACCTTTCCCACAGCATATAGTATGGACATTATGCTTAATTGTTTGACAAGCAGGACTGTTAAATATATATAAAGACCGCATGCTTTTACCTCACTCTAGTGAGCATTTATCAGTCTACCTAACGCGTCTCCAGCCTTTAGGTGTATAGCAAGTGTACTGACGGGCTCAAACAAGATATTTAGTAGTGTTTTCTTCTATAATTTCTGGAGACCTTTTCTGTCTCTACTTTATAGAACATATTTGCAAATAGTATCAATTAAGATTTGATTATTGATAGTATCTTATAGTTTACGCATCTTTGTATAAGAATCTTGGCTAGAAAGCTCTGATAGATATTCTTGTTCTTTATTTAAAAGTACTTTAGAGCGATCACTACATGGTAAAGTTGCCTATTTTTTTCACATACTCTCTGCTTGAGAATAGTATAGCAAATTGCTGATTCTGAACTTCAGCATGCTTTTTTCATATTTGCTTATACCACCAGCCCAGCCAATGAAGCCCGCATATCTGCGCACGCGGAGTAGGATATGTTTCCTTTCTTTGAGACATTGAGAATTATAGAATAGAATAGTAGGCTTGCTTAGACGTGTACGCGATCGATTATTTTGACTGGCAGAATAATAGTCCAATAAAGAAGGTAATCATTTTAGTGGGTTTGGCGCGAAAAGGGGGTGACTGTATATACTTTTGCACCCCTCCTCTTGTAGAAGCTCCATCTAACCGCCACGGCGATTTTTCCACGAGATTTTCAGGCTGTACCGCCTCTACACGCCATTCTCAGGTTCCTCTATCAAGGCAAGCAATTTCTCACACACTCCAGCCAGAGGGTCCGGTCGTACTTCTGGCCCGGTCTCAGTGATCCATGCCACCTCCGAGCGAGGGCCATATACGGGGAAACCAGACGGTGTAGTCGTCGCATTGCGCGCCGCGATAAACCGCAACAGGTAGTCTTGCATTTGCCAAATAACAGGGGTACTGGTCACGGGAGTGGTGGCGTTGTTGACAAAGAACATGTCTGCGAGAAGTTAGACCAACAAGCACCGGGTCCCGACAGTTCGAATGGACGGGTTCCACGTACAGGACAGATCCTCGGCATGGGTTGCCGGGGGGATAGCCATCACATATCGATGAGTGATGTCTGGATACGCGGCGGCCACATTCTGAGCGTGGCAGCCGTATATGATCGACGTTGCCCAGTCCCAGGCAAGCTTCGCTGGATTTGACGAGGGGAACGGAAACAAGTCTTGGATTTGTTGTATAGTCCGGTTGCTGGCCGTGGTGAAGACCGTCCGAACCAAGGCGGGGAATGCAGCCGGCATGTTGTTATCGTTAATCAGATTCATTCCATCGAGTGCCATGTTGCCAACCAATAATTGCCGTAGTGGTTGGCGGTACGCTGCGTCGCTGTCCTGGAGAAGGACCATCGGTGCGTCTCTAATATATCTGCCGTCTGGTGCTGGAGCAAAGCCAATGCTGGGTCCGAAGGAACCGCCGCCAGCGCCCGCGGGAACTTCGCTGATGAGATGGTGGTTGGCTGCTGCAAGGACCTCTGGCGAGGCAGACCGTAGGCATTCTAGTGACGTGCAGTTCGTAGCCACAAGCACATCTTCATATATTTCCTGCCTCCGCTCCATGACGTTTCGGCGGGGCATAAGCGACGGGGAAGAAATGATAGCCTTATGGTGGGTTAGTTCTCGTCAAGGCTCATGATATTCTTCCGGTGTATTTTTCTTTTAACGCACCTGAGAAAATGGTAGCTTCCGGCCTCCTCTGTCTGCCACAAGGAGGTAATTCAAGAGCCCAGCACCTGAGCTTTGCCCCATTGCCGTGATTCGGTCTGGGTCCCCTCCAAACTTGGATATGTACTGTTTGGTCCATTCAAGGGCCGCTTCGCTATCGTGGATACCAATGTTGCTGTCCATATCCTCATCCGGAGAGGCCATCCATCCATACAGCCCAAGTCTATCTCCATCATATACAAGTCAGCCAAACCACGTCACTGTCTTCCAGGGATATGGACAAAGGATAAAACACGGCACCTGTAGTTGCTCGCGACGAAAATAAACTTCTCATGATGTCCCTTGAGCGCATTGAACAACCCCATCGAGTACCCATAAGTAAGAGCTGTATTATCTTTGCTTCCAAAGGCATAGGCTCCGCCATACAGCCAATGGATCACCGGCACATTGTCTCCCTCCTTGACGCCCTCGGGGACTTGCACATTCAGGAACAGGCAATCCTCCTGGCCCCAGGTGGTACCGTTGAAACCCGGGAATGGGGCGACCGCGGGCACGCTGTTGACGCAATCCGTCGACAGATACTCACTTCCATGAACGACGCCCTCGTGCTGCGGCGGTGGTGTTTGGGGTTTACGAAAGCGTCGGTCTCCAGTAGGTGGTTGGGCAAAGCGGATATTGTTGTAGTTGGCGACCTGTAGGCCGGACGAGGTGGTATTCACGAAGGTGGGTGCGTGGACCGCGTAGCCCAAATTGATGTTTGGGAAACTGGGAGTCGAGCGAATCGCTGCAGCCACCGTGATGAGCAGTGGGAGGAGAAACATCCTGACCGAGTGTGAGCACAGAAGACGATGGTAGTGAACACAGATGCCCAGGACGAGCTCAACGAGATATATATATGTTGTTGGTTGTTCATATTGGCATCTCCCAGCAGATCATGCCGGCTGAATCGACACGAGCCCAATACGGCCGTATTGACTTTATACGAGGGTACGACCGTCGCAAACTGACCCACCTCTGAATACACTTGTTCGTGATTCCTTTCTCCACTCAATTAAACTCTTATCTGGTTCACAACTTAAAAGCACTTGTTCTCACCTCCATTCTCTGTTCGAGGATGTCAAATTTCATTTTGGCTACAGCAAAGGGATCCAGGGGTCCGGGGGAAGAGGAGCTCTTCCAACGTCACACCCCGAGAACAGTGGATTGAGTCTCGCAGGTAGGTGGTCAAGGGCAGAATTTTCTTTTTCCTCTTTCTGTTACTTCTTTTTTTCTTTTTTTTTGTGGCCCTATCCTGTGTTCAGCCCTAGGGATCTTGAGAACGCCCAACGTCTTATTCTCTGTTCCCCACTCCTCCTGTTGGAGACCTACCATATTCGGTATGGTCACGTGCCGTTGCTTAGTCACACATATAGATAAACAGCCTGCAACCACAACACAACCACAACCACCACCACCACCCAAACCAAAGAGCACACAGGTCACATGAAAGGGTCAGATAGGATTGTAATTAATACTTGATGTAGTACAAGCTAGGTGCCGCAATACCATGGTCACATGACTAAGTTAGATCCACCTCGGCGTTAAACGGGCCTATCCGACCTGTAACCTGCAAACCAAATGGGCGTGTACACAGGTCACGGCACCTCTCCTCAAGGGTCTGAGATTCAGTCTCTAAAAATTCTATTTCTTATTTAACAGCCTTATTCATTGCTTTCTTACAGACTTATTTACTGTAAAGAGAGCAGAATTCACTGATTTATCTTTTCTACTATACTACTATTTAAGTCTAATATTATTATAGTATCTAGGAGAAGTATTTTCTATTTCTCCAACAGAATATGGAGAGTAAGTCTCTGCGGACCAGCGGCCTGTTAGATCCCATCTGATTCCATTTACTATGCCCTGTTTTCCACATATCTTCGACAATCCGATTGAAGAGGCGCTCTCAATTTCTTAGTCCACGTCTATCTTTCTCCGCTCCTCTTACCTAATTGTAGGACAAGGTGATTCTCGAAATTGATATGAAACTAATGGAGCCCTTCGAACAATATCCCAATAGATTCGCGTTGTCTGAGGTCTTGCGTGTATCTGCAGAGGGGTCGGACTTAGGGAACATCAGTTACCTGAGCGTGATGTCCGGTTCGAAAGCAAATAGCCTGTCACACATATGAAGGACGATTAGTAACTTGAAACTGAAACCACGTTCATCAAGAAGAAAACACCATAGAGAGCCAATGAACAAAGGCATTCAGAATTGAGTGTAAACGTACCCGTCATTGTCGAATAATCCGCCGGCTGTTAATGGGGCAAAGGGACTCAACATCGTCGAGAAGACATCAAATATCTCCACATCATCCTGGCGCGCATCGTCTGGCACTTCTGGAGTAGAGCCGATCGTGGAACCAAGCGAGGTGTCGGCCGCATCACCCCCACGGACTGTGGCGGGAGCAAGCGTCTGATTGTAAATCTGGCTTTTTGCCTTGGTAAACATTCTGGAAAGTATTTCGGCGCCGAAATATACGGTTTTGAGCTCTTCAATAACCATCATACAAAATTCGAGGTTGTGGCGGCCCATTCGTTGCACCAGCTGTTTTTCAGAGGTGGTGTCAAGGAGATGGACTTGCAATGCGGGAACCAATGCAATGCAGCTAGCGATACTTAGCATCCCACGTTTCAATGTCTTTTCGAATCTCTGACAGGGCACGTACACCATCGCTTGCGTACTGCTGATCATATCAGCACTGATCATGTTGCCGAGGATCTTGTTGGTGTTGGTCGCGGCGTCTTTGGTCCTCCGCACCACAGTGGATGTCCATTCGTCCGCAGAGACATCGGGCCAAGGTATCTCTGGCTTATCAAAGATAAATGGCCGGTATAGGATCAGTATAACGGACCTATAGAGTGTCAGCCTATCGAAAACTAACAAAAAGAAATCGGAATCTCAATTACTCTAGATATAGCTCAAGGTGGTACGCGTGTAAGGAGACAACATGACTTTGTCGGTGAGCTATGGCGTAGTCTTTGCGAAAATAATACTGTCGGATGTTATTGTCTATGTGCTGTATTTCACTCCTACTGGGTGGCGTCCGCTCCGCTCGATTTTGCCATGAGAGAATCTTCGCTAATGAGACCGTAAGTGTCAACAGCTCCGTCCACAGTTTGGCTAAGTCCCCGGTGCCTTCAGGAAGGTACTTTTGTTGAATACTCTCCGGAATCCCTGCGAGGAGGCTACCAGAGTCATTGGAGTCTGGCATCGGGGTACTGCAGTCAGCTAGATTGATGCGCATAGGCCTGCCCATGCCGGCAGAGAACCACGCTTCACGGTAAAAGCAGCTCCACCAGATCTGCCGCCATAGTCTGATATCGCTCATGGAAATGGCTTTACTGTGTTTTCGACTGCTGTCTGGCTGCCGATGTAGCCCTATCGTTTGGCATAGACTGATGGCAACGCCGTTCCAATGCCAAGACCCGACCCTGTCTTCAGTGTCCGAATACCAGAAGCCCATCAGGAGTACTGCCTGAATGAGAGTAATCTTCCTTCTTTCATATTCCGCGTCATAAAGAGCCTACTTGACTTTGGTTAGCTAGCGCCTTTTGTTCAAGAGTGTCTTATCGAGCCAGAACCTTAGCTCGGATATACATTGCACGCTTCATCTCTTTTCGAGAGGAAAAGTTGGCGGCTTTTAAGGTGCTGTCATCGGCGAACTATATCTCATGTTAGGATGCCAACGAGGGGAAGTGAGGGAATGAACGAGACCCATACATTTGCGGCAGCTAGAAACATGCTCCACAAGAGATGCAGGCTCATGTCGTTGCGTGCATTCTCAAACATATCGAGAAATGAACGAGCATCGACAGCTGGGAAAAAAGGATGCACATAGTGGAAGTACGTCCGTATGATCATTTCGCAGACAGCAGGAGTAGGCAAGTCAAAGACGCCCTTGTAGCGCAGGTAATCGATCGTTCCCTGGTCGATATGTGTTGGGCTAATTCGTGGAACGAGGAAGTGACCGCTCTTCTCCCTTGGCTCTGGTTCGCAGATGTCGACTACCAGGCCAACGCCCCGAGGGTCGCCTACATGATCGAATCAGCATCATGGCGGGCCATCGCTGGCGCAAGGATCCCCTAATCCCAGCTAGATATCTGATTCTCACCGTATATGGGGGAATAGCACTTATCTGGAACGTCTCCATCCGGTCGTGACGTACCCGTATTACCTACATTATGATGGCTGAAATGCTCGTTGAACGGATGGTAAGGTGTTTCGGTGCCATCTCCTGTATCTTCAACCGACGGAGCTGCGGGGCTCCGTCCGCTCCGCACAGATAGATCCTCCGACGCAACGAGGCGCTCGGGACCGGGTGAAAAGCTGCGATCTTCCAGCGGAGCACTCCGTACCGCGGGACTGCCATTTGACACCGAAGAGACCGCGCTAAGACGGTAAGACGACGATTGCATTCCAAGTCTGCCACGGCAGCTCATTAGCGTGTCTGCCGAGGAGCTCTCCGGTCTGAGGTTGACACGTCGCTTACTTCAATCTCCTACTCTCCCGCGGCATACATGAGACATCATCTAAGGAGCAGTTGGCGCAGGGTTGGCCAGTTTGTGGGAGACTGCACCTTACTTTACGAGCGTGGCATGACTCGCAAGCTACGGGTGCTCGTTTTCTGGACCGTCGTGTTCTGCCGGAATTCCGCGTGCTCTCCACTGAAGAACTGGGCATCATGAAAGTGAGCAGTCGGGCCTTTTGCAAAATGAAGTCAGTACAGCATATTCAGCACCAATGCGGGAAGGTTGCCGCGGATAAGTACTTTGGGGTAGAAGCGGTACACATGCTGGGCCTCGGCAACGGGCAAGCCTCCGCACAGTTGCCCAGTAAGGTTGTCTAGTTGGCGGTGGTTAGCCGCAAAGCTGGCCGCGACTGCCGAGGCCTAAGGCGACTAATTCTCACTGAGCTTCAGTCTCTCCCGTCGCAGTTGAATCTCATCCACTTTTTCTGGCATTTTCCACATCTTAACTGGCTTATGAGAGCGAGGATTGAACACTAGCTTCTTCCAGAGCGAACTGTAATAAAGAGCCTAAATGGAACAATCTGAGGCTTTGAATGTTAATTATGCCGAATCTCTCGGACAATAGAGCTTCATGACCGGTAGACTTACATTGATCTTGGTAATTAATTTGTCTTTATAAATTGCTGGCACCTAGTGAACACCCTGCTGAGACACGGCTGGCCGTTCGAGCTCATCGCCTACGCCGAGACGTCTGCTTTCAACCTCTTGTTCAATAACTTCGAATCCCAAACGTATCTCGTAATAACAAGGATTTCATAGCTTACAAATTTCTGCATAGGCCATATCGAGCCGTCGCCGGGACAAAGCTACAGTTGTGGGAATGATTTTAGTTACGCCCGACTACGTATACTAAATTTATCCAGGCAAAATGATTGAAGCTGTTGTAGGCTCGCTACGACCTATAGACACAGAGTTTGAACGTCGAGCTCCCACATTCATGCTTAGGCTACAAGTCAAGGACCTTGTTGCTCATGTCGGCCTAATGGAAGCGAACAGAATTTCGCTTGATGAAGTATTATTTCGAGCCTTTAGTCGCGCCATCACTTTTAAATAATAGCAGATTGGCCTGACAGTAATCTCGAATTGCACCCGTAGAGGCAGTATTGAAGATCATTATTGAGTGCCGCATTGTCATAAACGAGAAAAAATGCCTTGCTACCCATATCGCTGTAGCCTAAGCTCCTCGTGGTCTTCTAAATCTAGAGATATGGACAGATGACGCTCTGGGAATATTTACACTTAGAAAAGAGAAGGTAGATTGCGAAATCTTGTACAGCGAGGTAAAGAGTATAAAGACACGAACACAGCCCGAAGCTACATGCAAGACGCAGTGCAAACGGAGGCCTGAAAACTAAGCGCTGATTTCCAGGAGCTTAGCACTATCATGCGTCGGTCATAGTTCTCAACAAATTCAGAGTCGAGATGTCTTGCTCCTGGACAGAGCCTCGCTCATCTTGGCCTGTGGGATGCCCTGGCAGAAACGGTCGAGGCCACCGAACATTTCGAGCGGTGCTTGCTCGTCCTGCTCCCTAACCAAGCGACGACGCATGAGAGCCTTGGTCCCCAGAAGGCTTGACTTCACTAGATGATCGCCGAATGTCTGCTGCAGGTAGCCCATCACCTGTTCGCGAAAGTCGCCTTTGCCCTCAAAGACCTTATTCACAAAACCGACCTGAGCCAACTCGCTGACAGGGATCTTCCTGCCAAGAAGGAGTGCCTCGTTTGCTTTACCATGACCCATTCGCTGGACAAATGCGACACTGGAGCCGCCTTCAGCAACGAGGCCGAGAGACGTGAAAGGAGTCATCAGATAAGCGTCGGATACCGCGTAGATAAAGTCTGAGTGAGATATTAAGGCTGCAGAAAGTCCAATAACAGGCCCGTTCAGCGCAGTGACAAGAATCTTCGAATGGCTGTAGAACGCTCTTGCCACGTCAACGTTGTTGTTGACCAACTTGGGAAGCCAGTAAGGGCGAGATAAAATCTCCTCCATAGATGGAGGTTTCCCTTTAAGATCAGCCCCGCTTGAATCTGCATCAGCATCTCTTCACAATTTCCACCTTTTGCACCAAGGGGAAGAGAACTTACGCAGAGAAAAAGGGGCCTTCGCCAATCAAGACAGTAACGTAGACGTCCGGATTTTCTTCAGCTTCTCGAAGCAAGCTTGCAAGGCGGTAATACAGACTCTGCGTCAAGGCATTGAACTTTGTTGGGTTGTTCAGCGTAATAACCGCAAAAATGCCGTTGATGTCGAGGCGAACAAGATCTTCTTCAGCCATGGCTCAATAGTGTTGCTCTGTTTGATGATAGAGAACGAGAAGTCTTTGAGAGATGTGCTTATGAGGCCTTGAATTATGGGTTGTTATTGATTCTTTTAAGTTGTTTGTTCAGCAACCTACTTCGGCTGGAGTTCCCGCGGCTACTGAGTGGGTACCTTCAGTGCCGTGGAAAATAGCCTCTATCCCCACCTCGGTATGAGTAAACATCGCTTTCGAGCAAGCCCGAGCTCGCTGAGCACTTCCTGGAACGACAGGATGGGGTAAACATTTGATTTTGTTCGGACCTTTTGCAGCTATAGCAACCAACATACCGTTTCGGCCCATCGGCCATAACGTCTGATTTTCGCCATGGGTCTCTGGCCTCGGCCTGATACTAGGGTTGAGCCTCAAAAATCTACATTTCATGTGGCATGTAGGTTTTGAATTGCCTTCCCTTCCTCCCAGGAAAATCTTATACTGTGTCTTCCAGCTGCTTATATTTGTCCAGTCCAACTTCTCTATACTAAATATAGTAATCTTCTACAGTGTCACTGCCGTGTAGACAGGAATCTCTGATTCTGATATTGCAAATATCAATTCTTTCTTTAACTATCTATTAGGGTCTTTCTTAGGTGTCTATATTCTCTTAGGGATCTATCTAGTAATATCTCTATTATTTCAGAACTTAGTTTAAGTATCTTAACTATCTTATCTGTCTCAGCTGCCTTGTTTGCAGTTACCTTGTCTGTCTTAGTTGGCTCGGGTGCCTCTAGGCCTCGCCATAACCCGCGGGTTATCAAACATAATAAATATACAAAAACCTATAACCTGCATAGTTTATGTATTTATAGGCTATATTTTTTAGTATTTACTTTACAAGTCTGTTTTCAGAGAAACTAGGGTTCTAAGAGATTATTGAGCCAAAAATATATTTATAGACTATTCTTAACTAACTTTATATTTATCTAAAAGTCTTGATCACTTCCTTATTCTTTCTGATGCCTGCTGTTAAGTACTAGACAGGGATAGATCAATCTAATTATTATTGTCTTCCTGCAGTTCATGTACTCTATTATCTTCTGGTTCTGAGTAGACTTGTTAGGCCCAGCCCACGAAAACCGGCCCAACCCGGCCCAACCCGCCAAGAAATGGGCTGGGTTGACCAATACAATGACCCGGCATGGGCCGGGTTTCTTCCCTGGATGGCCCACGGGTCAACGGGTTAGCCCGCAGGTTGCCAAGACAAAAAATACTCTAAATATATTATTTACCTATAATAATATAAATAAATTACTATATTATAAGACTGTATTATATAAAGAATATAAATTATTACTATAGTAGGAAAGGATCTACAGTTATGGGCTCCTGTGGGTGGTTCACATATATATATCTTGACAAGTGGGTGGTTTGTATATCATCTTAACCCGGCCCAAACCCAACGGGCTGGGTTGAACAACCTCAAAAACCCGGCCCAACCCGCGGGCCTAACAAGTCTAGCTCTACTGCTTATACATCCAATCCTTATATATATATGCCCATTGATAGCATAGTTTAGCTATTTCCTCAGTTAATTAAGATCTTTTTTATGCTCTCCAGTGGCCATATCTAGACCTCGCCATGACCCGCGGGTGACCCTCGCTACCCGACCCTCAACCCTCATTTTTGAGGGTCGAGGGTCCTAGTTTCCTACCCGCAGGTCGGGTCTGTTATATGTTCCTACGGCAGACCCTTGGGACAAAAGGGAAAAAACTGAAATTTCATGTTCATGCTAGTATTCTGCTGGCAGATACTTACATGACTTGCTTCGTTTCACCGGTTAGTTACTTATCCTGAGCATTACAGGTGCAAGCCCTTGCTCAGGTTATTGTACACAGGGCCTGTATAATTGGGGTACTGGTATTGATATAGATTCTAAATAAGAGTTTATATATATCTCTATAGGATAATTGAATTATTTTTATCTCTATTCTTTCTATTCAAGATAATTAGATTCTCTGGTGCTTTGCCTTTCTCAGGGTCTAAGTGTTAATTGCAGCTTAGAGAGTTACAGATAGTGGAGAAATAGCATACTACAGTGCTGCAAGTAACAGAAGCAGAGAACTGGATTTCTATTAAATAATCTACTACTATATATAGAGATTGATCACTGGCTTCTGAAGCTATTAGAATACAGTAAGGATTTTACTGCAGCAGATAGTATCTTATAGCACCTGAGATTAATATAGTAGCACATGTAATTATATACTAGTTAACAGGTCTTCTACCCTGACTAGTAGATATCCTTAACAATAATAGTATTAGAGAATATATTATTTATATAAAGATCAGTAATCTCTGCCTTATAAGACTTAAGATTAATTACTGGACAAGGCATGATAATGGCTTGTATAATAGAATCTAACTCTTGTAGAAGTAAGCTACACTGCTGGTTTTAAGAGATCTGAGCTCCAAGTAGGGCGGGCAGCAGGGCGGTAGACAAAACGATTATCAGTGGCGGTTCCGACCACCCACCGCCTTCCGCCGGTGGGTGGTCGGCAGCCTAAAGGAATTTTCAGCCTAAAGGAAGAATATGAAGCAATT